TCAGGAACCTTGATTCTCCAGACCGGCCCACAGATTCAAAGCCTTCTCCTCCATCCGGACTTGCTTACATTATGACCTGAGTCCGTGTAAAAGTACTTGAATCATGTAAGGACAACACGGAAACCGTACTATGCGTGTTTCCCTTCATATGGTTGCATATTTGGGATGTACTATCATCCCCTAAGTAACATCCATTAATTATTGTCTCTTATCATGACTTCTTAACTGCGGCTCCTTTAACACGAGCCCTCTTGTGCTGGCAGGGCGGCTCCAGGTATTTGAGCCGGAAGCTGGGGTCAATATCGTCAGGCAGATCGCTCTCAGCCACGTTGTCCGTGGGCATGAAGGGCAGAAGTCCCAAATCGGCTTTCCAGTAATCTGAGATGTCGCTAACCTTACGTGAAACACGAGAGGGGGAACTTAGGGCAACTTACCTTACATGGACAAGCTCAAGGAGGCGATCTTAGGGTAAAAAGGGCAGAGATCGCGGAAGCATACACAAGGGATGGAGGATGCGATGGTGGCGGTTGGGCTGGTGATGCAGAGGATGACCATGGCCTTGGCCGTAATGACGAAAAGTGGCAATACTGTTGATGGATTTTGTGGGAACTAATTATGGTATATTCCTTATAATGGGTAATGCAGGATTTTGTCCATCAGCAGTAGTAATGTGATAGACATCATGAAGTGACGGCCGTGGTGGTGATTGGTTCGATCATTGTGACTGAAATTATCATGGCGATGCTCGACGATGGCCTCTAAAACGAGGAAAGACATGTGGGAATGCTGATGAGAGTTCATATGCATGCGGTACACAAAGCAACAGCGTGACAATAGTTTGGTCGGTAACGGCGGGCTCATAAGAAAAAAGGATAATCTTCATTCTTGACATTTCTTGACGATATGTTGGTGGGTGGCGCTGCTGCCGTCAGACTTTGTCAGACTCACATGTACGACCTGGAACCTGAGCTGCAAGCTGGAAGGTAAGCTTCCTCTGTTGCAAGGTCGAGCCACCGCTTTAGGTTTCCGCGTGTCCCGATCTTCCACGTAGGTGACCTCTGGGATTTCAAGTCTCTCGGAGCTTGGAGGTTCCCGGGGCAGGACTTCCAACAACATCAAGATCCTAGTGTGTGCAGGCCCAGGTACCGCTCCACGGAGTATATGGCTGAAGTTAGGGTTTCCGTGTGGAGTTAAGAGATCAGGGTTACTGCGTTACTGTTTAGGGCTTTGTCAAGGGTCCTTTCCTTTGCGTAGGACACTTTCATACTCCACGGTCACAGTAAAGCAGAACTTGGCACATCGAATGGATCGACTCCGTGGACCAATTTAAACCGAAAGGTCCGACATCCATAAGCCCCACCGACGAGCCCCAAGAACCCAAACTTGTGGGGCTCGGCACGCCCGTCTCGGAAGCCATGGGGTATCAAGAGCATCTTGAGCGCGCCTATGCGCAAGAGGCTACAAGCCTATTCGACTCATTAGGACCCGTATGCTATAGCATGCTTCCAGATATCCTAAACTGATATTTGGCTTTCCGAATACCATAGGGGCCTAAATAATTGCCAGTACTATAAGGCCCCTGTATTACACTGAGGCCTCCTTGTCCGCTCCCTTGGCAGCAGCCACCTTTCGAGCCTTGGAACAGGGAACAAACACAAGCCTTGACTGCGCGACTCCTCGTTTCCTAAGGATTTTTAAGGTGACGGAAGGAAACCAAATGGGCATTTGGGGTGTTATCATAAAGGTACTCTTAGAGTGCTTCGTGTTCATCTGCGCCCTGAACCCCAACGAGGAGTTGCTTAAGCAAGTCATGCAGAACCGGTAGCATCTTACATATTCACCTCCCATCATCATGCTTCACTGATGTTTTCCGGGCTGCAATGCTTCCCCCCGACACTCTACACCCTTCTTGAGCAGGAGCTACAACACCCTAAACTCCGAATTCTAACAAACCTTCAAACCTTTCTGCACCGGCCTCGCCTCTACGGAATGGACACCCGGGTTCCCTGCCTGTTCGGCTGCGAAGAACTGCTGCTTCTGCTCCTCCTTCCTCAGGTCATAGTTTCACATATACATACTACAGTGTGCGTTAATAAGTTACATACACGTGTATATATACATATATATATATAATGTGTGTGTGTGTTATATGTATATACACACATACACGCATACCAGTACAAACAAATAAACAGTTCAACAACGAAATAAACGTGTATGTATATATATATATATATATATACACGCATGTTGGCTAACGCAATGTAATATGCACGTATGCTCATATTACATTGTGCATGTTCATGTATCTCGTGGGGTGCTGTTTGGGGGATTGCAGTCGATCTGGGGTCGCAGAGTGAACAGGAAACTTGTCTGGCTCCGGTAGGCACTCACGCTTCGCCACAAGAAACCCGAAAGCCCGGAGGCGTACTACAGGGGCCTTAATAAGTAAGTAGAATAGGGTTTGGGGGCCCATTATACTATACTTACAATAAGGAACCCCCAAAATAGTATATAGGTCTTTAGCCCCTATATTATGGGGGAAAGCGGTGAGACTCGATCGCATAAGTCGACAAGCTGGGAGCTTCGAGGGATCTCAGTGAACCAAGTTGCTAACCCTAAAGTGTAGGGTTTATGATAGGGTGTAGGGTTGCAAAAACCCGGTAAGTTCTCATCGCGACAGCGGCACTGCCGTTGAGGTTGTATGAAGAGAATTTGTATTGGGTTGGCATGGCTGGTGATTTGCAGCTGTCTCTTTCGCAATGCTCTTGTATGATGCGGGACCGCCGTTCGAAGGACAAATGCTGACAATCCTGCACCTTGCTGCTGAACAAGTGTGCAAATCGAAGACCACAAACCATGCGGCTTCGTCGGGCTTTGTCACGCTGGACGCATGAAGAGGTCAAATAGACTGGGAAAGGCCTAACAAAGTCGGCCAAGCATCTCTTCCAGCAGCTTCTTTTGCTCCTCTTCTATCTCCTGCTTCCAGCAAAACAGCCCAGGGATCTCAAGAGGTGCAACACGCGGTGCGCCAGGTGGAACCCCCAAGCCTGCCTCACTCCACACTCTGATAAAAGTGGACTACAGAAACTGCAACACGCCTGACTCATATGGGGGTTTTCGAAAATAGGGGACCCTAATATAGTACCCTAAATAGTAGAGCTCTGAACTCGAAACCCTCAAAGCGCAACACCCAAACACCCCCAAAGCTCTCTGCAGCCTTGAGCCATAGAAGCCCTACTAACCCTCTAGGCTCCTAAAGCCTCAAGGCCCTAAGACCCCACTTCGAAAGGTTCCGAGATTTTCAGTATTTCCGGCAGCCCTTCATCCCAAGCTTTAAAGACCCGGAATCAATGTCGGAACCTGATTAAGAAACCTTGGGACTTCATTAGGGTTCCTCATATTTAAAATGAAACCTAATATTTTGGAGTTAATTTTAATTATAATTATAGGCCCAATTCTTCTTCATCGGGTTCCTACATTATGCAGGGCCGTCATGGAGCCTTCTTGCTCTTCGGAGGTGGCTCCGGCTCAGCTTTCCTTGGGCCGGCATGTTACGGTGCTTTAGATGGTTTTCTTAGTAGCTGAGCTCATAAGCCCCCAAAAAAGTGCACACTTTTAGTTCTATAGTGGGTAATATTATGCCCAAAAGTGTAAAGTGTATCCACTCAGCTACTAAGTTTTAGGTTTAGGGGTCTATCAAAACCTTTTGCACAGACTTGTATATGAAACCCTAAACCCCAAGGCCTCTGTTAAGGATACATAGCCTCACCCAAACCGACGTATGAGTCTGAGGAAGGCTGCTGCGCCCCCTTCTCAATCATCCAGGCGGCTTTGCTTTGGAGACTGTTGGCTTTGGAGGCTCTTTTACCTGAGCACAAGAAGGATAGGGTGAAGGACTTGGGGTTTACACATGTTTACACCCTCGCAACTCGGCACTGCTAGATGAGGTCTCTAGGGCTTCTTCCCTTCCTCATGTGTGCGCGTTGGGTTTGTGGTTCGGGTTTTCCCTCTGATGATGGCCCCTTTTGGGGGTTTAGGGTTTACCTGGACCCTAAAAGTATGTAGAATAATTGCCTTTTATAGGTTTTGGGCCGTTATTTTACCTACTCTGGGGGGGGTCTAGGTAGGCCTCTGGGCCCGCGCCATGCAAATGCCGAGTTGCCACCTCCTTCTTCGGTGGGGCGGCTTTCGCCTTGCCGCTGGCATTCAATGCCTCAGGGTTCATGGAGGGGCTCTGAAGAATTATAGTATATCTAACCATACAGTATCCACTTAGCCCCTATAAACCACTAGGAGAATGGTGAGACGGGCAAACCCCTGAAAGTCTACACCAACCATGTAAGTGTCCCTAAACCCTATAAACCCTTTTTTCAGCATGGGCTTGGATTGTGTGCCAGCGAACACTCCCTAAACCCTAAACCACGTAAGTCGTAAGTGTCCCGGACTGAGCCAGACGAGGCGCATTCGCAAGAGCCGTCCGGGAGTCGAAACCCTGTTTGCCCATCTTCGTTGCAGCTAAGGCCCCAAAGTAGTTCAATTTTTGGGATTACCTTGTAGAATTCTATATATGAACCCCAAAAGGAACTACTTTGGGGCCTGCGGGTAAGGCTATTGGAATGCTCCTTGTTACTTTCTGCATGCTGGCTCCGGCTGCTTTCTACGACGGCAAGTTCACAGCTTGTCGGCTGGCAACACCTCCTGTGCTTCTGTCACCGTGCTTGAACCAGAATACGCGCTCAACGGGGCCGGGCTATCAGGGGCGTCTCAAAAGACTGGGGGTCCAGAGTTCGGGGTGACCCAAGACTATAACAAACCGCCAGAGCACTCCAGTAACTATAGTAACTGCCACTGACACAATATTCCACTCTTGTTACCTCAAGAACGGGACCACGAAAATGCGAATTGCAGAGCCCCGCCCGCGCAAAGACGCAGCGCAAGCAAGAATCCTTCTCCACTCCTGAAATTAGCCCCAAGCCCTTTCTGCCTGGGCTCCGGGCTGCTCCGTTTGCGCCATGGCGTGCATTAGATCTGCTGCTGGTGGGAAGGGCACGGACCAGACCTGCAAGTATGAAAGCCCCGAAGGCTGGGGATACTTTAGTTTTTGAAGCCCTTTGCTTCGTGCTCGGTTGTGGGAATTGGGGCGAAGCTCTACTGTTTACGGTGCGAGGTGTCCTTCATTGCTCTACATAGGGCTTGATATCTTCTGCGGGTGTGTCCTCACGATGCTCACCTGACGGTGATCTTGTGAAGTAGGGAACTCCGGGAGACAAAGATTAGTGGCATTACTGTAGTCATGACATAGTACAACATGATTAATAGTAACAAAGCGAAACATACCTTAGAACAAAACAATACAGCATGGTACATGTACTATAAGATAATGACATATGATGTGCTGCAACATGGCAAAACGATCTACTCAGCAGCGTAATGGACTATAACATAGATAGCATCGTGTCACATTACACAGCATGATGTACCATTCCACATACCAACAAAACTTAAATACGAAATAAGAAAGCATAACGCGAAGGTATTAAGTAGCAGTACAGGCCGTGTACGACACAACACTCGGCAACCAAACAGAAGAGGTAAGATAATAGCTGAACCTGGGGATAAAATCGTAAACATGTCTACTGCTACGGCTATTGCTATTGCTATACTGCTACCGGTATTACTAATTCTTATGGTTGCTACCACGCTGCTACAATTACTGCTAGTACTACTACTGCTACTACGACTCCCAATCCCATACCATACTCACTCCCACTCCTACTCCTACTGCTGCTACTACCACTAGTAAACTACCACTACGACGACGACTACTACTACCAAGCTGTGCAAAGGAATGCGAGACCTACCAACCTCGGGATGCTCGGTGAAGGCCCATTGGAGAAAACAGACCTCGATCTTTTTGAGCAGACAACGTGTGCAAGTCTATCGGGCCTTTGTCGTCTACAAAGTTTCGGTTACGAGTGTGCCCGGACCTTGGGAAACAAACCTACATGCCCAGGATTGCTTATGGTAGACTTCCTGACAAGCTTCCTCGGCAAAAATCAGGTTTTGGGGGTTGGGGTAAGGCTTGAGGTAACATTGAGGAAACCAGGGCTGATGCACTTGGCAGCTTTGTAAACAGGGATGGTGTCGGACCAGCCCCAGTAGTCATAAATCTGGGGTTTGGGAGCAAGTGCCACAGTCGCTGAGTCCCATCATCTTGTACGACCTGTCTAGGGAGCCCTTCCAGCAACAGGCCATGAAGAATTACACCGCCCACGCCCACCACTTGCCCACGAGTTTTCTCAGGGGGAAAATGTGCCTGCAGCCGATCGAGCAGAAGAATGCAGAAGATATGCTGCTGTAGACAGCTCACCCAGTTGACTCTCAAGAACCTCATGTGCGAACTAGATCCTGCTTGACAAACCTTTGCAACATCTGTAAAAGTCACTATACCGCAAAAACCCACAACCCATATCTCCGAAACAACAGGCAGAGTTTCAGATTTTCAGTTCCAAGATCTTGCAGGCCCGGCAAGGAAGTCCATCATCCAGGTGCCCAGCACTAGGGCTGCCCTCCGAAAGACCTTGCACTGAAGGCTGAATGATTTGTTAGAGCTTTGCCTCGGAATATTGCCTGATAAAGCCTGGGTGTGCGCGTGCGTTTGAGCCTGTAGAAGGAGCACAAGCATTGCAAGGAATGTGAGCCTCTGATCCTCTCTGCAAGTGGATTCATGACGATGTGTGCATCCGCACATTCCGGTATCTGTGTACTACTGTAGTACCCTAAACCCTGTCTCATTCTGTCTTTATTTGGTACATTCTGTCTTTACTGGTTCTCGGAACTCCAAGATCCAACAACCTAGACAGCCTTTGCTGCAGGCATTGCACGCAAGGACGCCTGGAAGTTTGCCGCTCTCCCCAGCAAACCTGAAACCGCAAAACCTAAGGAAAGGCGAAAGCGTTTCCCTCCCGCAACCTGGTAGGGCCCTCATAGCAGCCCTTCCAGTAACATTCGATTGCGTGTGGGATGGCTTGATTGGCTCTTGAGCGCTTGCCAAATCACGGGTGGCATTGGACGAGATGATACAACATGTGAAGTGCCCTGCGCAACGCATCATACGCGGGACTTACCAGGTTGGGAAAGACGGTACTACAGCACACAGTCTTGTAACACCAAACCAACGAATCCCACCCGCAGTTCTGTTTCGCTGAGCTCAAAACCCGCACAAACCATCCAAGTTCCCAACCCCAAGACTCCCAAAACCCCAAACGTAATGCGCATAATACACCCCGTTTAATCCTCAAGCCTTTATTGCAACCACGGCTCGCACGTCGCCTGGCCGCTTCTCCGGCGAAGCCTTCACCATGGCCTCGAGGGCTGCAAAGGCCATAACCTGCAAAGGGCACTTATGGGGTTTAGGGTTTAGGGCTACAAGAAAGGATCTTCAAGGGTACCATTTAAAAAGGGGTCCTTAATAAGTAGAATAGGGTGTTGGGCCCACTCTACTATATGACTATAATCAGGAAGCCCCAAATGGTATGGGTAATTATTGAGGCCCTATATTAAATTATGGTTTAGGGCCCAGGGTGGGGTGGGTGTGGGAGGTTACCGGCTTCGACTCGCACGCGCGCACGCAGGCAGTCACGGAACCACGGGTTCAGGATTCAAAAGACACTTCATGTACACAAAACTACTTGCAAACAAAAAAATGGCATAGATCGCCAGAGCGGCATGGTTGGGTTTGGCTACGCACACAGCAGGCATCTCTCTGCCTTCGGGCTCTACTTTATCGTGGATTTGCGCCTGGGTTTGGCGCTTGATGCGCTGGCTTACTGTTCATTCGCTTGTTCTCGTCATGATGTCGAGTCATCTCGCACGCAGTATTCCTTGAACTTTCGGCAAGGGACAGCAACCGGACGAAGGGTGCCGGCAACCCATCGACAAAACGAACTGAGTCGACTGCCAGAGGGTCCCACACGAAGTTGATACACCATTATCGTACTGTTTGCCTTCCGACTAAGCCATGACACGCAAGATCCGCCTTCAGGTTCTTCTTGTGTCCCTTCTGGACCTGACAGTCGCCCCGAGTTTGACAAGCGCCCATCATGTTGGATCGCACTGATGCCTTGAGCTTTCTGCCAGGGAGGCCATGTTTGCCAGCCTTTGGTGGAAGCCAAGTGCCCGAAGCCTTGTAAATTCCCACCCCATCTCGGAAGCTGCCTGGGCATGGGCGAAGTCGTGCTCCTGCAAAGGTCGGCAGCATAGACCAAAATTTCTTCCCTTCATGCGACTTTGCTCCACTTGCTGGCGACGACGACTCCTGCTACTCCTGCTCCCCATCCTCCTAAGACTGCGGCCGCCGCCACGGCCACCACCACCACCACCACCACCACCACCACCACCACCACCATCACCACCACCACCACCACCACCACCACCACCACCACCACCACCACCACCACCACCAGGATTACGACTGCGACTGTGCGAGAAAACACAGGATAAAGTTTGCCACACCTTGGTAAGACTTTAAACTGGCTCCCGATTTCGTTTACTTGCTTTCGCCACATCCCCTGTCAAAATTTCATGAACTATATAACTCACGACGATCGAAACTCAACAGAGATCGCAAACTCCGAAACCCGAATTCTGCGGAAGGGCCCCGGAAGCTGAGAAGGATCTTGCGAAAGGGCCGACTCTTCCCGGAATGCACATGCACATTGTAAGGAAGCAAAACAGCCCGAATCAGCGCACTGAAAAACAACTCTCACACTGCTCTCCTGGTGAGCGCGTTGCTGTCTGTCTCCCAGCACGGACATGTTGCTCCGATGCTGCGAGTCAAGCTGCAGGAGTCTCCTGCTCAGTCGCACTGCCGCTACCACTCCGACAGAAGCACGGGATGTTTTGCGATCAGTGTAGTGGAAACTACAACTGTTTTCTGCAACTGGAACAGGGGACCGGGAGAAAGACACGGGGTGACGCATGTCCATTGCGACAATCCTCGGAAGCAGCCCTTCCCATCGCGTGCCTCTTGGATCCCAAGATTGTCAACTCCGAAGCAACCCCACCACCAGCTCATAAAAGCTCACAGCACTCCTCACATCCTCCTCCGACGGCTCCTCCCTGAGCGGCCGTAGACTGCGGCTACTGCCGCGAAGCAAAGTCTTCGCGATTAGATGGTAAACTTTAGCTGTGCAAACAGGGTGGGGTGAAGTCTTTTCCGGTGATGCTAGAAACATGCACGTGCGCATGTCGATGTGCATCACGTGTATGCTGCGGGGAGCCGATGCGTGCCCAATGCCGAGATCCTGGCCCAATTTGTTTGATGAGAACCTGCTGGCAGTACACGGAAGCTAAACTCTTGCTCTGTGCACAACGTTGAGGGCTGATGTTTCAAACCTCCGCTTCGGGGTTGACTGCTTGCACTTCTGCCTCGCGCTCCTGCTTCCATCGCTGGCGCGTGAGCGCGTCCTCGTCGGCATGCTGCTTCCGGAGCCTGGTCTCTTGTCATAATGATTATAGAATAAGGTTTTGGGGCCCATTATACTACAGATATAATAAGGAACCTCCCCTCTTGTGTCTTGGGTCTGGCGCTTGGGGAGATGCATGGCAGAAGCTCCATGCTCGGTACAGGAACAGAAGGAGGGTAGGCCTTTCATGATCGAAAGATGTACCCCAACAGGGCTTGGGAGATCTTACATGGTAGCAACGTTTGTAGCAAGAGACGCAACGATCTAGCAATCGTAACCTTCAAACGAGGCCAGGCACATAACGTGAATATGTATATCAATGTATATATATATATATATATAATATGTATGTATGTATGTATGTATACACATCTACTTACTCTTGCATGTTTAAGCGTCTGGTGGTTTAGTTATAAGGTAGCAAAAAACGCCCACATACTTCACACAACACCACATATGGGATCTCGGACGTCAATGCATGGACCGAAAAGATTCAGCCCTCTGGGAAGCTATTCGAGCTTGGCCTATCAACCTCTACTTTTGCAAGGCCTCATAAGGTTGGAATGGGAAAGGTCGGTTACACTAGAACGGTATAGGGACCATGAGGGGATGGGCTTATATACCAAGTGTTTAGAAGAGAACCTCTAGGGTACCCTTAATAAGGACCCCTCGGTATACACTTAATATAGCTAGTATATACCCATTATAGCCCATTATAGGGTAGGGCTCCCCATCTCACCGACCTCCACGAGTCCAGCCTCGAGCCTTCAAGCCTCACCCAGGATCCAAACATTGAAAACAAGATCATCGAGCTTCAGGGTTGATGTAGGGCTTCGTGCTTAGGGTCTTTAGTTTCAGGGATGATGGGGCTCGGGCCTTTCTGTTGATCCAGCTGCCACCACAACGGCCCTGTCATGTTCGCGCTGCAGCTGGCGCCGCCTCGCCTGCGAGCTCAGCAGGCGCTCGTATGGCAGGTTCACCTAATCTTCGCTCGGAAACTCAAACTGGTTTGAGGGTTTCGTGTTTCATGCGGCATAAGGCCAAAGCTTCAGCATTCGCAAAGTCGGCTGCGGCTGTCAAGCACCGCAGCCTACAGGACAAATCCTAAGGCTTGGTCGATGTCATGCGCGGTGGGGCGGAATTAGGCAATTAGGTTACATCATCGGAAGAGCAACTGCCAACGAAATGAGCCTGCGACGCTCGGAGCCTTCAAGAGCTCAAGAACCGACTCCCAAAATTTCAGCCCGTGGGTCTGCTTGCAAAACACACGATGCCCGCAGCATTTCGCAACCTATAAAGAAGCCGCACCCAATCTTGAGTCCTGCTTCAATATGTCACCTGAAATGCTGTCCAGATGCATTCTGATGCCAGCAACTTAGGGCCCCTCGGATGTGGTGGCGCCGGCGTTCTAGTAAGATCCTCAGCTTCAGACTGTGGCGGCCTGAAAGTAAAGTTTGATTGATGGTGATTACCAGCGACAGTATAGTAGTATAGTACCGGATTCCTGCAGTTGTTTCAAATTCTCCGCTTAACACCACGCGTGGCATTGCATGCCGTACTTGCGGCACCAAAGTTAGACAGTCGGACCCCCCTCTTGTCACCGAGAAAAGTGGGCACCTCCGTCGGATGGCTCAGGCATCGGATCATTCAACTTCGAAAGCTTAGGGTATAGGGGGCTCGGGTTCAGGGACGAAAAACCTTACGCCTTAATGCAAGAAGCTCATTCTCAAGACCCATCGGCACGACAGCAGCCTCTGCAACCGGTGCAAACCCAGTCTGCCCATCACAGAGCTAGACAACTCATCTGCAGTCGAAGATCTCCGAGACAGTCTGCAGGGCCGCCTCCCGTAGCCTGGACTGGTTGATGGCTGAATAGTTGGGTTGAGCTCGGCGCCTCTCTCCCCGCAGCAGTTCCAACCCTGCTTTCGAGATGGATTCCCCCGCGATGCTTCGGGCCATCGAAACCCTTCTTGCATCAGGACTTGTGCAATTGCCTGAAGACATGGACGGAAGGTCAGCACTCCTGACTGCACTTCATCGAAAAAAACCCTTTTGCATCCGGTCTGCAGCGCCTCTACACCCTTAAACCACGGAAGCCCTCTTTTACCCTTTTTACCCTAAACCGGGGAAACCCTGAGACCCCTGAGACCCTTCACGATCTGAGGAGTAACTCAGAAAGCGCTGCTGAGAAGAACGGAGGCGAGGTTCAGAGGTTTCGTCTCCAGCAAAGATTCACCAAGGAGGGGCCATAATTTCGCACCCTAAATGATCGGATCCTCATAAAGAAGATTAGCTTGATGGATCAAGGTGTTTCGAAGAAAAAGCACGGAAATCCTATAATTTCCAACTGTATCCGGAAGTTAATGAACCCCGCTGTGCGGAACAGTCGTGCAAACGTGAGGCGAAGACTATTGCGGGTAAGACTTTGCTTAGAACGACCATGAAGAAGTGATGCATGCCACCCCCCACCTGTATACTGCAGGTATAGTTAGGTTGCAGATAGCCGCGACAGACAGAAAAGAATACCCATCCTCTGCCCCCTGCCATAAAATCTTGCGACAGCTGAGCTGTCGGCACTGCCAGCATGGCGTTGCGGATGCCAGTAATGGAGGACGGACGCACACCGGCCACATCTCCACCTTGGTGTTCCACAAGTTCGATGAGGAGGCATTGTCACGCCTTAATGATCTTAATGATTAGAGTAGGGGTTTGGGGGTTCCTTATTGTAGTTATGGTATAATATACCCCCAAACCCTATTTTAATCATTTAAGACACAACAATTAAACCCCCATAATACCCCTACATTAAACCCCCATAATACCCCTTATAGTAACCCTTACAGGAACCCTATTCTTAGTATTAAGGCCCCTTTATTATATACTCCGAGCCCTATACACTATCTACCTCGAGGCTCCGACTCCCGCGCCCCAAGGGCCCAGGTTTGGCCCGGGGCCGCCGGGCCAAAGCCATGGCGAAAGGCAACGCCCTGCATGGGTCTTTGCGGCTCCTTGTTGGGTTTTTATGGGGTTCGAACCAGGATAGAAGGGTTGAGCCGCGTCGCGGAGTGTTGTTCTAAGTCTGGAAAGCTTTGCGTCGTGTTTGCCAGCATGGTCATGGTCCCAGTATTCGCAGCGGCTAGTAGTGGGTACTAGTACTAACTTCGGTCTACGAAAGGTTGATGGCTGCATGTGCAGTCTCCGACCGTGCGAAACCAAGGATCGCTTTGGATCCTTCTAGCCAGAACGGCAACACAGCTTGAGTATACTATCCCCCAAACCCTGTTATTCCTTACTGTTCTTATTGTTATTTGGCGTGGTTGCTTTTTTTCTGTTCTTCTTATGGAGTTTTTATTAAAAAAGCTTCAGATCCCTAGCTAGGCCCTAGCGAATCTTCTCCCTGTCGAAGGCCGAGGGCCAAGACAGCACGACCTGCCCTCGGGCGTCGGTTCTCCTCAGGGCTTTGTAGATTTTGTCAATTCTCAGGGAGCATAAACCCCATTATACTAGGATCCCTTTTTTGCTGCAGGCTTGCTTGCAAGGACGCCTGGTAGTTTGCCACTCTTCCGCCAGTTAGGACAGGATCCCCACATCATAAATCCAACGGGAATACAAGCCTCAGATACTGGGACAAGGATCCCCCTAAGCTCTCATTTGAGGGAGCTTACTAAGGCACCATAACGTGCCTCTGACGCTCCCAGATCTACAGAGCTCCAGTGTGCACCAAAAGCGAACGACACAACATTCTGGGGCCCAGAACTTGTCAGGAGGTGCACGCGACAATCCATCTCCAACTGCCGCCTGAACCGCAAGCAAGTGCTGCTTCTGGTCGGAGAGGGTTCTTTTTCTGGATATTGCGGAAGCCCATTACAGAATGTCTGCAGCAGCACAAGGTTGCCGACAATGACGCCCGCAGTTTCGCCCATTCTCGAAAACATGCTTCCGATTCACGCTGCTGGCCCAGGGATGCAGCAGAGCTACCTTCAAAGGACCACTGGCCATTTGACTGCTATGCTTCCTGGCCCTCAGATTGGCACGACGACTATGTCGGCGGGCTCTGACGGCAGCCGTCATGGTCTCCGAGGATCATGTACGGTCAGGCCTTCTACATTAGTATGTAGAATGCTGTAGAATCTTGCAGGATCCAGTAGCCTCACATGGCATCGGAGAAGCTCAACATGTGCCCACAAATGGGAATGTCCGAAAAGGGGGCCCCAATATAGTACCATAGTAGGATCCTTATTATAAGGTCTCCAAACTCACACGTAGCCTCTCGTCCGCCGCGAGGAGTCCTCTCTGGGCTTCATGCCCTGGCAAACTTGGGCAAATGTCTCGGAATCTGTGGGAGGCCCAACCTGAAGCCAAAAACCCTCTACAACTTTAACTTTAAAGAAACCTTTGATGAAACCATCAAAACTCTTGAGCCCTAAACTCTGCATGCTTTTAACCGTTTCAGCAGGGAGCCTCGTCTTGGCATGGCGTGTGCCTGCGGAATCTCAAGCATGCGCACCCAATTTGCAGGAACCGGCTTTGCAAGAGCTGCTGTGCTTCCAAGAAGCCGGGGTTGTGCACGCATACGTGAAGTGAACACAATGCTGCACAGCTTGCGTCTTCTTTTTCACCAGCGCGCTGTGGTCGGTATATGTAGATTTTACATCTCGTTGGATAGAGCGATGCTGCAGGAAGCACAGAGGCAACTGTCTGCATCATGATTGCTGATGCTCCCCGCATGGGGTCACGTCAACACTTTCAGAAATCATGCCTTCTGCTTCAACTGCATCGCTTAAACGGATAATATAGGGGCCTTATTAGTTAGAATAGGGTTTTGTTGCCCATTATACTATAAGTATAATAAGGAACCTCCAAAATAGTATATCTATCTGTCTGTTCTGTTCAATTCGGGCCCTCCAAAACAGTATAGGTAATTATTTAGGCCCCTATATTAAAGGAATATCTGAGCCTGACAGGCGGGGCCGTGGGCCGTGGGTGGCCACCAGAAATCCGCTCTTACGGTCCTTATAGGAAGCCTCATCCCCTTAATATAAGGGCCTAAATACTTACCAATCCTATTTTGGTGGTTCCCTATTATAATTATAGTAAAATGGGCCCGAAAACTCATTCTAATTGTTAAAGCCCTTATACTATATTATAGACCCTTATGGTAGCCGCCTAGGAACACTGTTAGTATCTTTGTGGAGCCCTTCTCAGTATCTTTACATGAACCGTCATGGTTCCCTTCTAGTCCCCTTATTATAGGACATAGTACCCTTCTACCACTAGCCCTCAAGGGCCCTCCTTCAGCCGGCTTCCGACTCCTCCATCAGAAAATCGACGAAGCGGTCGGTCAGGTCTGCGAGGCCTGTCTCAAAGGGCAAAGCTGACCGTCTGCAGTTCGGCTTTTTTGCCAACCCGCCCAGATGAACACGGTTCGGTATAGAGTTTAGGGTTTCGACACGCACACTCGCTCACGCAGGCACGGCTTCGAGGTCCCACTGCTACCGTGTAGGGTTTAGGGACCCGAACCCTACACCGAGTTCTGTTCAGGGGCTTTGCCTCCTACTTGCGGTTTTGGGCTTAGGGTTTCTGGGGCTTTGTAAGGATTTGCGGGTTCAGGGCTTGCAGGATTTACAGAGTCGAGGGCCTGGGCTGAAGGAGCTTCAGGGTTTCGGCTTTAAGGTTCATATCTCAGGCAAAAAGGGTTGCTGTAAGGCTTCCTACAAGGGTTGCTCTCAGGTTTACTTTGAGGGCTGCAAGGCTTCCGAATACAGGGGAATGAATAAAACTCTTGAACGCTTATGACAGCATCCAGGCTTGCAGAAACAGCCAAACCCTAAACCTGCCCAAAACCCCAAACCCAGACTTGCAAAAACGGCACACCTTGTGGCTCCTGCATCTGCAGCGGTGTCTTCCGCTTCTGTGACAAGCCTACCTGGCATGTTGGCAGCTGATTGCACTTTGAAAACCGCAATCAACATCATCAATTTTTAGGGCTTACGAACACTTCGTGACACTCCATCTTCACGAGCACAATCTGCGCGACAAGTCCATGAAAACCAGCACGGACCCGGTTAGGAGGCCTGCTCGCGCTCGGCTGAGGTGAAGCCAAGGAGGTCAGCCATCTTGTTCAGAATCCTGGGCGGTAGGACGTCTGGCTTTGGGGTTGTAGTGATCGGCAGCAACACTGAGGAAACAAAGCTTCCGAAGAGGGCATCACAAACTGCTCAAGCCCCACAGGTCTGCCAGGGCTCGCCGGATGTCTTTCCAGCGCCTGCACCTCCTCTCCTAGAACACGCTTGCCCCCCCATGATCTCGGACGCTTTTCTTTCAGAGAATTGGTCTGCGTTTCCCGCAAGAAGTGCGGAGCCCGAGATCCCAGCGCTATCGCACATGTCCATGCGGGACTAAGGCAAAAATTCTACCTGTTACGCGGAAAGATTAAGATGGCAGAAGCATGCGTCGCTCCGTCTTGCCGGAGAAGGCGTTGATTTGAGGTGTTGAGGGCCCTTCATCTGTCACATCAAACACTCGGAGACGACGCATGCTGTATAGAATCCGGAGCTGAGCATCCCGAGGCAGTACCCTTGCTGCCCAAGTGTCTCTAGCTGCGGGCCCGGATTCTCCCGCTGCTCCAAATAGGCTGCCAGCATTTGTGTGACCATGCGCTTATCCACGAGGAAGGGGCGTTCACGACTCTCCTGATGGGCTGAGATGATCAGCTGAAATATTCTAGACATGCTGAGATGTGGGTTGGACTTGAAGTGCCACAGAGGTGTAGTAGTTGTTATTGCGCCTGCAGCCAGGCAAGCATTCAAACTGGTTTTGGCCTCCGATGGGTATCCACCCAGGGCATGATTCTCCACAGTACGAGCCTGCTAATGTAGGGGCCTTAGTTGTCAGAATAGGGTTCTAGGGTACGGTATATAGCATAGATTACGGAACCCTGGCAAAAAACATGCTGATAATATTTGGTGGATGCTAGCTGTTACTAGCTTTGTATAGAGTACGGAACCCTAGTACGTAGAAAAAAACAGAAAGGTACGCTGTGGGGTCCCTGTTTTCCCACCAAAAAAATGCTGGTGGTAATTGCTCAGGCCCCTACAGTCTCTCCCTCGACCAAAGCCCGCAAGGTGTGTCCGATCAACGCAAGCAGACCAAAACAACTTCTTCCCATATCCAAGGGCAAAAGGAGAGACCCTTAATGGGGACCCCTACCCTATAATGGACCATATAATGGGTATATAATATGTTTCAAGCACGCAAACCTCAGCTGAACCTGAATGCGAGCGAGTCCCAAAGCTATATAGCACCTGAACCCACTTCTTAAGCCCTGCGTTCACGGACCATGGACAAAAGCAAGAAGATACGGATCGTATTTCTAGTCATACAAGTTCCACTGTGTGGCTTTTGGGGCCTTCTTCCGATTCCGATCTACTGCAAAATGAAAGCCGAGACGCAGCTTCCATCTTTGCCACGCACCGCTCCACCACGCTGTTCAAGGATTTCAGCTCCTGCTCTTGGGAAGATAAAAGGTCTTCTTGATATGTAGAGCCTAGGGAACCTGGGGATGGGCGTGCCCAAAAAAAGGAGAATAGAATGATTACGCCAGGTTTACATTTTTACACTTACCTTTGCTTAGTAGGGAATGGAGGAGTGGGGTACAAGTATACCTACTATTACTACCAGTTACTACCATTCTTCCATTCCCTACTAACCAAAGGTAAGTACAACGGTTGCCGCTATGGCCCACGGCCCACGCGGCATTGCTTTCCGGGCATGCTGTCGTTGCAGCTCGTGCGTTGTGTTGCTGATGCTGGAAGTACAGTCGTCGCCGGCTAAACCACTGCCATTCTTGATCTGATGACACTGACAGCTACCACCATCATATCGATCATACTCTCTGCGGGATGAGGATGCTGTTTCGGTCGGGGGTGCGAAATACGGAGGGCCTCATGACAGGCTTCGTGGCTTTCCTGGCAGCAGCAGGGACTAGCAATAGCAGGAGAAAGCAGCATTGTCGAAGTGCTGGTGGCAGTAGCAGCTGCACCCGAACTGTGTTTGCTGATAGGGTGCTACCAGTAGCTGCTAGCTTTGCACTGTGTGGGTATTTTTGTTGGTGGTGGTGCTAGTGCGGTTGTGGCGGTGGTGGTGGTGACGGCAGCATCCGGCAGCGGTGGTGGTAATGGCATCATGGAACTTGTATGTCGGGTCAGAATAGGGATGATTCTCGCTGCTCGCATATCAGAACAGTGCGATTCTTGTACTTGTCTTCCTGGTTCGGAAGCCACCGCTTTCACCGTTTTACAAAGGGGCTTTATCCTTGAGAAAGGCTCAAGGTTAAGTTTCAGCACGAGCCTGGCCTCTCGGCTCAGGACCAACTCCTGTTGGAGCCGCTCCTGAAGCACACGGAGTCTTTGCGATGTCTCCCATGGGGGGTCCTTATAATAAGGATGCTATATTAACATTAGGGCCCTGTATTTTCGGAAACTCACATTGGGGGTTCTGGGGTTGGGGGTTAGGGCATATGCTCGGAACCATGAACCTTGAGCCACGCATTCACAAGTGATGAAGGATGAAACCCACAGGATCTCTGCACTGGACTTGAGCTCCACTCTGCCCACCGCAGCAGCCAAGCTTCATTCTCCGTGGAAAGTGCGCGGCCGGCATCTGCCACTTGGAGGTTCTCCTGCAAGTCTGCAGACAAGGGGTCGCCTAGAATGGGTTCGACCAAACAAGCAAAGGAGTTGAAACGGAATGAACAAGCTTGGTGAACTTTTAAACTCGACATGCATGCTTGGCCTAGCCGTAGCCATAACCTTGATTTTGCCTTTCCGCTTCAGCTTAGAACTAAGCTTCCACTTCCATGCTTAAGAGACGCGGTGCTCGAGCTCCGCTATCCGCAGGGTTTCGTATGAAGAAGACCACCATCTTTGCCCCCTTGCTGCTAGCCCTGTCATGGCGACATCGGACCCTGAGTTCTCTTCAACCGGTCCTGGTTCCTCTGCAAGACCTCCTGGAAGGCTCAGGAAAGTTGCAAGGTCAAAGAATCCAGCGACGGTCCGGCTTTCAATAACAGCTACCCGGAAGAACACGGACGGCTACGGCTATGCGTCGCTACGCTGCTGTGCTTTCAGCATTGAACACCCATCTCCCATGTACTCTGCCTCTCGTGTGGGTGGCTTCTGAAAACTAGCTTGTCCCTAGCTCCAACGCAGCACTGACCCGAGAATTGGCATCCTTACTCGCAACACCCCTTCAAACAGTTACTCCAACATGTCCAAAGAACTGCCTCCAAGGTATCCACGACCCGTCTCGTCCTGGAGCTTCTGTTGGGCCTCGTTACGCTCCCGGCGCAGTGTCGCGCACTCTTTGTTGCGCTCCAGTAGCGCCGACTCCAGCTGTCCTGCCTGGGCAAAGTGTTCCTGTGTCTGAAAAATCACCCCAATGCGACAACAAAAACAAACACGAAATCCTATTCCTGTACGTACATGCCTCAGAATGAAACAAACCATGTGTCTCACGGTGTTCAGAGTCATACGTGGCTGCAATGCTATTCCTGTCGTGAAGCCAAGATGCCCGAAACTTCCCTTTACTTCCCTATTCCCATAATCATGCCAGCCAAAAAGAATGGAAGCCTTCATACTTCGAGGCGCCTGGGACTCCCCCGTCTCCTGGATCGACAAGAGGTCGCCCTGTCAAACTCTGTCGATCGGGGGTTTCACCCTTCAGACTGTTTCGGGTTTAGGGTCTTAGGGGTTTAGGGTCTTAGGGTTAGGGTTTTTCCCACCTGCCCAGGGTTAGGGCTTAGAGTTTAGGATCTGCCGTCTGGTTGTCGGCAATGAGAGTCAAAGATCACCTATCACTGTGCACAACGAACACCAACCAGCCCCCAGCCCAAACCAACAAGAACAATGTCAATGCTGAATATTCCGGCCCTGGTCTTTTATGCTGCTACAAGCTACACTTTCGACTATCTACTGACGTCTGTAGCATAGTTATTGCAAGTTGTGCTCTCCCAGCTCAACACTTGTCACTGTGATTGTTCTGCTCACTCCTATATCCTGTCGCCACCGATTTTAGCTTCAACTGACCTTCTGCAAAGACTCTGCAGCCACACGAGCCATCCGACGGAAACCTTGTGCTGTCCATCAATTGGGGTTTGTAAGTGCTCACACTCGGAATTAGTAGAGTGGCTTTAGCATATATGGAGCTCCTGCACGCCCCCGACAATCCTCGGAGGCCCCGCAGCTAGATACGCCGGACCCCACCCGAACATGCAAACTGCGTCTGCCTGGAGGCGCTGGATTGAAGCGGCGTCGGCTGCATGCTGGCGCTGGAGCTCTGTCATTGCCTCGCCCCCAAACGCGGCCGAATTCATGGAATTACGCAGTCTACACACCCGGCATTGCCCGGCAGCAAGAACCGGTGGCCATGTATGCTCACAGAAACTCACAAGGACTAAGGGTTGAGACTCTCCCGGAGCATTTAATGCACCCAGGCTCTGACACGAGGAGCCGGCTATTGCAATGCAACCATCTTCCTGTTGCCCAACTAGCTGCATGATGCCATTACATTGCCTGACACTTACTCTATTATATACATGCATATATATATATATATGTACATGTGTATACATATATATATATATATATATGTATATCTGTATTCACATATGCATGTACACACATACAAAACGCATCTGCTGTGTACACTATGCATACGCTATAATATAGTCGCAGCGTGCATGTACGATATATCGCACATATACCACTTTTGTGATGAAGTTATAATACATAAGACTCTGGAATACTACACACCCCCGACATCCTGTCGAATGAGCGGCCCGCCTGGCTCCGCTGCTCGAGCTGCAGCTCTGCCTCCACATAGAAACCTATCTGGTAACCCCTATACTCTCCAGCCGATACTATGAAGAAGTAACCCTTCTAGAATAGCATGCTGGGGACAGCAAGACGCCGCGTGTTCGGGGGTACTTACCTGTTCTAACCCCGAACTTCTAAGCCCGAAGAGCAACCCGTGGCCCGAAGGCAATGGCAAAGAGTTGCAAACTCGACCTCAAGCAAGTGGTAGCTTGAAGTTAAGTATGGCACCCACCAAACGATCATTCTGAGGTATTCCGGGCCTCTTTGAGCCGCGTCTCCAGCTCTTTGCTTGCCTGCAGGCGTTGACTTGAGGATTCGTTTTGGCCGAGGGCCAGAGGTGGGTAATGTTATTTAGAATAGTGTTTTGGGGGGTTCCCTATCATAACCATTGTCTCATATACCCCCAAACCCTATTCTAATTATTAAGGGCCCCTGAATTGCAGGAAGTGCCTCGGTCAACAGGCTCAATTTCTCACTGACGGGGAAAGTTCCAAGGTGCCGGAGACTAAACCGGCACGGCAGACCCTGGCCCGGAGACATATTACAATGATACCAACAATGAAGATGATAGCGAACAATTGATGATTGTAACAATCAGTATTAATCCACAGTTATCCTCATTCTCCTTGTAGCAAGGCCGCTTGCGATGACGATGGTGGAACATACTCACTTCTCCTCGCCTTGCTCTCCGTTGACATGCAGCTACTATCCGAGATTTCCGTCCAAGCTTACTCGAAAGAAGCCTCGAGACCATACCTCCTCCGCAAGAATTGGAACTTGTATGAGGCCAGAAACACACCTTTACTGTATGAATGTGTTTTTGTTGACCCTGAAAAACTTATCCGACAAATCTCTATAAATCTGCTGAGGGAGCCTCTTCAAAGGGCAGCAAACGCCGGATTTCGAGCTGCAAGCGTTCTGCCTGAAGTCTGGTGCTCCGTCAGTTTAGAATTAACATGTCGTGCTTGCACAGTTTTTGTTTTAGTTGGAGGCCCGGATACGGCTTTAGCATGCTTGGGGCGTTTGGTCGGGATTAGTTGGGTCTGGCGAGCACGGAGGGGAGCCGTCGAATGTATCTTGCAGTGCGCCTGGAAAACGTGTGTGTTTGTGTGTGTGTGTGTGTATCAACTTGGCATGTGCGGCTGGCCGTCTACAAAACCAAACTCTCTACTCCTGCGTGCCAACCTGCCGAAGCTTTTCTTACAGCCGGAAATGCTAACGTGCTTCGTAAGCCTGGACCAACCAAGCCAGAGGTGCATCTTGCAGCTTTGCCACGCATCGCATCAGCTCCTTCTCAGGTTGGGTAAGTCACGAACTGTGCGAAAAGATGCATGCAAAGCTGGTTGTGACGGCGTTGTTTGCTGCTGAGGAAGTGCTCAACCTGGTCATGGTGGCCGTGGAGGTTGTCGCATGGTGCATGGTGACAGCAATAGTCCGGAGAAGTATATCGCACTACTTTAGTAATCTTATAACGGTGAGTTGAGCATAAGAAGATGAGATTATAACAGCATTCTAAAAGCATACTAGCTGATCGTAGTCAGCAGACAGTGATCCTGGGTCCTCGTCGGAGCTTCTGAGAGAGGGGCCGTAATAATTAGAATAGGGTGGTGGGGTATACTATGCTATAATTATAATAAGGAGCCCCCCAAATAGGATTAGTAATTCTGTTGGCCCCTATATCACCAGAAAAGAACGCTGCAGCAACTCTCCACCGGTAACTGCATATGCATTTCAGCATAAAGCATTTAGTCGGCGATGCGACAGTTTCTCGCAGGTCATGAGTGGATTCTAAGATGCCATCGTAACTTGGTACACATTGGCACTGCTGCCGACGGCACGGTCGTGCCAAAAACAAATCGCGAAGGCGTGGTTTGCCACATGGGGAAGCTCCAAAACAAGGGCTCAGGCAGCCAACATCCACTTCCCAGCGATTGTCCGAAGAGCTGCAACAGATAGAAACGGTGGTACTTTAGCTTGACTATACTTGAGAGCCGTTGTCTTTCGGTCTCTGAAAGGAAAAACGGCTTCTAGACCTGCACACGTAACAGTTGCCCAACACAGCCTGCCTCCCTGCTCTGCGCCAACTCCTGCCGGAGCCTTTCCTGCAGCTCAGGACAAGGTTGGGCTCAAAAGGGCAAAAAAGCTGGAACCCTGTAAGCTCGCGCTGAGCACTGAAGCCGTCAAGCTTCGTTCTCCGTTGAGCCGGCATGTGCAACTTGGGAGGTCTCCTGCACAGATGTTGGCTTCAGAATTGTGTAGGGCTACCGCCGGGTATACCGACATTAGAGTCATTAGAGATTTGTAAAGATATCCTTTTGAACTGTATCTGAAGATTTTAAGGAACTCCCATCCTGCCCCTGTGAAGGATGAGAGACCATGCGGGGTTTCGGCGCTCACACTCGGACAATCCAGGCGAGGCGTATGGTTCGGAGTCACTGTGGAGTGAGACACATCTGATGGGAAACCATGCGGGTTTAGGGTATTTAGGGCTTCAAGAGGTATGATGTATAGGGATGACGTGCAGCCCGTCCTGGCTCCTCTGCAAGACCTCCTGGAAAGTTGACAGCCAAACAAGAGCTTTCTGAGTCTGGCCACTGCACAGCTTCATGTCTAGATCAGCCAAGACCTCCACAACACTGAGTGGCATTGACATGCAAAAGTCGGTGCAGTTGGCTGCATTTGTCTGCCAATTTGGCTTCTCTTGGCTTTGCCGCCCGCCTAGCTTACTATGTTATGTGACCCCCACGCTGTGGGCCTCTCCCGGTTGGCCCATGGCCCCACATCTCGGATCATTGAACCAAAGTCTCCATTTTGGGTGACTCTCTGTGGACCGGAAAAGCTAGTCTGCCCTCTTCGCCCGATGCTTTGGGAACAAATCCAAGCTCTCCGGCCACCTGGGCCCTCGACCAAACTCCACTCAAAGCGTCGCTAAAACCCGGCAGGCCCTACAGTAAAAACCCTGCAGGCCCTGTCCTGCAGCCTCTGGTTGGCCTCGTTCCGCTCCCGAAGTGCCAACTCCAGCTGCCCTGCCTGTACTTCGCTGCTGTCCACACCAAATTCCCATACGACTCCTGTAGTATCGTAAGACTATTGTTCGCATCAATATCAATAGCTGAAATAATATTGCTCGACTACCCTTGGCTATCCAATTCACTGGTACTAAATACTAGATGTCACGAACATCACACTTTCTAACTCTGATCGGGATGATCTGCAAGAGAATTCAAAACCACTGTGGGACACTGTGGGATTGAAGTCCAGTTACGGGGAGCTTCTGCAGGAAAGGTTCTTTGCGGTTTCGGGCTTGAGGTATCGTAGAAGAGTCATGATTTGTGGGATAAGGGTACTATAACCGCGGCACATCGGGGAATCGGGGTACTGTACACAGGTGCTACTAGATGTGTGGCTCGATCAACCTCTAAAATGACTCTAAACAGCTATTTTTCTACATACTTTTGGGGTCCAGGTAGGAGGCCGATCTTCGGTGAGGCAGGGGTTTCAGTTGCAAGTGGTACGTAACATTCAGAGACTGATGGGAGGCCAAGAGGTTTAAGATTCTTGGGGTAGGGATTCCTTAATATAAACCCTATCATGGGAACCCTAATCCCTTCTAAACCCCCAAAGGCTAAGACCCCTTTTGGCCTCCTATGAGAGACAAAACAGGCGATGCATCGCCTTGAGGCTGCGGCTTAGGGGTATGGGGTTTAGGGCTTAGGATGGTTTGGGGTTTTAGGGTTTGTTCGGTGTATGTAGAAGGTTTCCAGGGCCCCCGAAAAAGCACATAAGCAAAAATAAGGATAGGGATATCCCATAATTATAGACCCCCTTATAATGAAGCCCAATAAGGTAAGGATATCCCTATAAAGCGCTTATGCTTATGCGCTTTTGGGGCCCCTAAGTTTAGGGTCATCCACCTGAATACATGTCGCTTGCTGCTTTCACACGCCTGGGAGGCGCCAGTTTCCTGTGTCGATGCCAAGTCGCCCTGACAAGACCCATCGGTGGGTTTAGGGTCTTAGGAGTTTAGGGTTTAAGATCTTAGGGGTTTCGGCGCTCAAGGTCTTAGGGGTTTAGGGCTCGGGCTCATGGTTTATGGTGCTTAGCAGCCTTTTGGCGGGACTTTGAGCTTACGAGAAGGGCTTCCAGGTGCGGTTTTGCTTCCTGACGCGTTCGGGACTCGGGCTTATCCGAAGTCGTACTAACCAACTCCTTGACGAGCCAACTCCATACGGAGGATTCACGAAAATCGCACGCGCCATCTATCCCCCTCTCTGTCGAAAAAGCCTCAAGGATCTGGCATTGGTATCCCGTTTGGTAACCCTGTACCGTTCACCTGTACCGTTCACCCCGAAGCCCTATTCCGAGTATTCCGTCGCCCATTTTGGAACAAGAAATCGCCTGGAGTCGCTGAATTGTGGCGGCATCTGCTTGATATTGGCTCTGGAACTGGGTGATCGCCTGATTCACACGAGTGGGTCTTTTTCCACACCCGGCCGGCTGACACTGTCGCACCGCAGGGAAATTCGGTTGAGGTTGTAGGGTTTATATGGGTTTATGATGTTTCGGTGCGCATTGAAGGTGCAGGGCTGGGTGTGTAGGGTTTCAGTGTTGCCTATGGCATCGAGAGGACGAGACCCGCATAGCAGGGTAGTTCTCGAGTGCTTTAAGGTTTGCTACACAATTCCTGGTGATGCATGGTGTTCCTCGATTTTGAGCAACCGTCGGAACCAAGTTTGGCAGCAGAACGCCCCCACAAGTGTTTGTGACTCAAGAAGCAAACCTGTCGGCAACAAACCTGGTCAGGAACCACGCGTGTCTCCATCCCATGAGCTTTCTACGCCGGGAGGATGTGCCTGGCCAAACTGGTGGAGCTGCAGCGTTACCTGCAGGGGCTCGCTTTTGTGAAGCAAGATTGGATCGACCAGCTGTTTTGGTGACTGTGTGCCGAGTGACTAGACGAGCTCTTTCTTTGTGGTACCGGAGCTCTGCCCCCGCGTACACTCTGCTTTTTGCATTTTACGGCTTGGACGCAAGAGCACCACCCGTCAAAGCACTCTAGGCCTCCTGGAGCCGTGTTTCTGCCTCCGTGGTGGCCTGGCCATGGGTTGAACTGGAGCTTGGGGCCAAAGGCTCCTGGGGGGCTGGGAGCAACTCCTGAAAGGAAGCTGTCCTGTACTGTAGGCGGCTTCGAAGACTCATGCCTGCTCCAAGCTATGTCCACAGTCTCGGCGTATGCGCAATGCAGAATCCAAGAGATAAGAGGAGCAACACACATTTGGACTAAAGCCCATGATGCTGGAATCCGTACTGTATACCCCAGCAGCAACACGGCTAGACACATCAAATACAAAGGCGATTGAAGCACGAAGAACTGGAGATCGTCGTCCCCTAGTACCCCGGCCTGCTTGCTCTGCACCAGCTCTTGTCGGAGATTTTCCTGGCCCAGCATCATTGCACAGACACTAGCTTCCTCTTTTGTTTGCAAACCCCTCAGGATACAAAAAGTGGACTTGCGTGTCGAAGCCGCAACCCTGGCCCAGTCTGTGTTGAAGCCAAGCTTCATTCTCCGTGGAAAGTGCGCGGCTTGCATCTGCGACTTGATCAGTCTCCTGCAGACTTTGTAGCCCCCTCGAGATGGCTTCAAAGGACTTCGGAACGTCAGTGCGGCAGCAAGGTGCTTGCTTTTGCATCGTATAGACATCATCGACATGTAGATCACCTGCGGGCCTGGGGGCTACTATTATTATCATTGCCGTTATTGCTTCGGAAATTCGTTTTGGCACTCGCACTCGAGCAACTCAGGCGAGGTTATTCCTGTTATTGGTATTACTAGCATTACTGTTGCTACTGTTCTTGTTTACTACTACTACTACTACTACTACTACTACTACTACTACTACTACTACTACTACTACTACTACTACTACTACTACTACTACTACTACTACTACTACTACTACTACTACTACTACTACTACTACTTTTTTACATCTGGACTTGATGAATGCCAGCACCCCACTGAGCACAGAACCGAGGACTCTGCCCAGGCGCCAGCACAGCGGGAAAAGAACATGACTCGTGAACATGACTCGCTCAGTCAAGGCCTGCAAATCGAGAGTGCTTACCTGGCACTACTACTACTACTACTACTACTACTACTACTACTACTACTACTACTACCACGACTACTACTACTACTACTGCTGCTGCTACTACTGCTACTACTGCTACTACTGCTACTACTGCTACTACTGCTACTACTGCTACTACTCCTACTACTCCTACTACTCCTACTACTACTCCTACTACTACTCCTACTACTACTACTACTACTACTACTACTACTACTACTACTACTACTACTACTACTACTACTACTACTACTGCGCTCGCTGGTAGCATTGGCATTGCTTGTGAGACCTTGCTTTCGAAAGCTAAGACCATCCTTGGGACATTTTGGGGGATGCCGATTCTAAGTTTTTCGGTTGAGGGGTTTAGGGCAGAGCCGCTGCAAATCGGCGCCAGTGACAAGATTTTTTAAGCCGACGAAGATCGAGCACTTACTATTTCTGGCTACAGCAGGTATGACGGGCGACTACTGTCAGTCGTGATGGCACGAGGAAATAGAGCTGGAATGCCACGCAAAAATGACTGTCGGCCTGCCTCCCGTTAGTTTTCTCTCTCCCTGTCTCTGTCTCTCTCTCGCTCTCTCTCCTGGGCATGGGGACGGTCAAAGTCCCCGGGCTTCCTTTTGTTGTCTCTCTCCCTCTCCCTCTCCCTCTCCCTCTCCCTCTCCCTCTCCCTCTCCCTCTCCCTCTCCCTCTCCCTCTCCCTCTCCCTCTCCCCTCTCTCTCTCTCTCTCTCTCTCTCTCTCTCTCTCTCTCTCTCTCTCTCTCTCTCTCTCTCTCTCTCTCTCTCTCTCTCTGTGTTGCGCCTTTGCATCTGCTTATCCGTTCAACCAAATTTTGCACACACCGCTCCCTGTTGTCCTTGCATCATGTAACTCTTGCAAACCCCAAACCCTGTTCTAACGATTCAGACCTGCAGTAGCCGCAGTTTGGAAAATGAAAGTACTCATAGAGTAACAATACGACTAATAATGATGAACATAAGAATAACAATTATCATAATATTGAGAATCGAATCGAACCGTGTCCGTGTGCAGCCCGTCCTGGCTTTTTTGTAGGAGCTCCTGGAAACATTCAGATGGAGTTATGTCGTTTCAGGGGTAGGGAAATTGCAATACGGTTTAGGTTTAGGATTTAAGGTTTTAGGGTCCAGGGCTTAGGGTACTTCCATTACCTACAGTACAGGAGATAGGGTTGCGTAAAGGGGTGATTGATGCAGGAATTGTTCGTTGTTTGCAAGGTTTCAGAATTAAGGGTTGTTGAGCATGTAGCAAAGGTCGCGACAACGAAAGGCTTTGGGATGTGTAGGATTCGGATACTCTTGCCCAGTCGGTGGCTGTGGCCGTCATGAACCCAAAAAACCATGCATACTAGACTGATGACCAGGGTGTGCTAGCAATCTGCTGCATGACATTGTAAACGGCACGCTTGAGCATGTTGCTGAACCAAGACACGAGCTTGAATCTCACAAATGCCCTTGTAGTGTGTCCCGCCGTGTTGGCACGAGACATATCTTACAGTGTCTTACAGCACACCCAGCAACTTTCATGATGAAGCTTTGAGCATAAGCGTCCTCCCCACTGGCTGATGATGCCTCCGGCTCTGCGGCCGCTAAGCCCCTCTCAGAGATCCGTCCTGCAGCTTCTGCTGGGCCTCGTCACGCTCCCGGAGAGCCGACTCCAGTTGCCCTGCCTGAAGGCAGCATCACTGCGGGATTTTGCGTGTCAACCTATAGGGATCAAAATGGCCCAAAAGCCTTATATAGCATGGTCTTAGTCTTTGTGCCCAAAAGCCTCAATATATGAGTCCTTAGATCCCTAGGGTAAGAGGCTCTGGGTGGAGAGCGTGATGCTCGGCAACCAGCATTTCCCATGGTAAGTTCTTCAGGCCCCGGATCTCTGGCGAGGACTTCTCTTAGGCCGTATGCCATGCCTTGTGTCTAATCTCGTGAGGGGGTCCCTATAACAAGGATCCTACAATTTAGCGTACTATATTAGGGTCCCCTACGTTCGGAAACTCCCATATTAGCATAAGAGACGAGCTGAGCTCGAGCCGCCTCTGGGTCCAAGGTTTCGTATCCCTAGCCATGTGGGTAGTTCTCTAAATTTGGGTCCCTCTTTGTGGGTCCTCTTCAGGGTGCCGCACAACTAGTTTAGCGACCTTACAGAGGGCCCCTAATGTGGAGAACCCCCCCCCCCCCCCCCCCCAAAGCCAAGCTCTCCCTTCGCTTGCATCACTGCCTGAGACGCCCCGGTCTCCTGGATCGATGCCAAGTCACCCTGACGGGACCCGGTTCTCAAGGGGCCTCATGAAGTAGAGGAGGGTTCTGGTGGTTGTTATAGTATTAGGAGCAATGTGGGAAATGATGCAGGCCCCTGCAGTATATTTCCAGTGTGTGTGTGTGTGTGTGTGTGTGTGACTGAAGGCCTGAAAACAGGAACAGGCACTGCATATCCTAATCGCAAACTTGCCGTAGACACGAGGAAAAGAGCCGAGCCCAGAGAGTTGTCGACCTCACTTCTGAGGACGGCTTGGGACGGTTTAGGGCTTATGGCCATACAGCTCCGTCTGGATGAAAAGGAGGCTTCTTACGGTCCAGCAAACTCATGCGCACCCCTCGTGAGGATTAGGGGTCGGCATCTTCTGAAGTGAGCAAGAGACTTACTGCAGAAAACGCAGGGCCGACCTCCCGACGCGTGCTAAAGCCTCGGATTCAGAGCAACCCGAAGCCCAGACTGCAAAGACCCCTCAAAGACCAGTCGGTGCATGCCCTAAACCCTATATACCCTATAAACCCTATAAACCCTATAAACCCTAAACCCTATAAGCCCTATAAGCCCTATAAGCCCTATAAACCCTATAAACCCGAAACCCTTAACCCTAAATCCTAAACCCTATAAACCCTAAACCCTAAACCGGGCCTGCAAGCGCTGGACGGCCGCGGAATCTGCTACACGCAGCTGCTCCAGTTCTACCATGGCCTTGTCGCAACTTAGGAATTAGACTACCTGGACCCCAAAAGTATGTAGAATAATAGCCTTTTATAGGTTTTGGACCATTCTACCTACTTTGGGGGGTCTAGGTAGGGTCTTGGGGCCCATTATACCATAGTTATAATAAGGAACTCCCAAAATAGCATAGGTAATTACATCTCGCTTCGGTTTGTCTTCGGGCTGTGTCAAGGCGGGCAACGGTTGGGGTCAAGATGAGTTCCCACCACTGCGGTTTTTTTTGTAAGCTACACATGCCTGGACTACGCATATGCCAGGAACCGAGGCGCCGACTGTGCTGTCATGCAGATCACCTACACCCTAAACCCTAAACTGGTCTACACATATCACCTAAACCCTGAACTGGTCTACACATATCACCTAAACCCTGAACTGGTCTACACATATCACCTAAACCCTGAACTGGTCTACACATATCACCTAAACCCTGAACTGGTCTACACATATCACCTAAACCCTGAACTGGTCTACACATATCACCTAAACCCTGAACTGGTCTACACATATCACCTATACCCTGAACCCTAAACTGGTCAATTCACCCCAAAGCTCATCCTATGACTTTTTGTAGCGCGAGGATGCGCCTGGCTGCGCTGCTCCAGCTGCAGCTCCGCCTTGGGGGACGTCGGCTGCAGTGTGGAAGTGAAGATTTGGGAGTTTCCAAAAACTAGGGGCACCTTATTATGGGATCCTTATAATCGGATCCTACTATTCACGGTACTATATTAGGGTCCCCTATTTTCGGAAACACCTATTTGGGACTTGTGCCGAAAACTTTCGATTTCGGTGAAGCTTAGGGTGGGTTGGCATCTCCATGTCAGGGTCCTGTGCTGTAGACCTACATCGTGCCCACTATCACAAATCCCCGACACATGAACTGGACACCGAGCAAACGGATCTGGGCCTCCTGGAGTCGTGATTGCAGCTCTTTGCTCGCCTGGCGTGGCTCGCAAGGCGTGTAGCAGACCGCCGTGAACATCAGTTTCAGCAACACATAACTAGGCAGCAGTGCTCCTCTCTTGTTCTGCTAATAGCAGGCTTTCCAACACACCGAAAGACGTGGAGACCGGCCTAGGACACATGAAGCATACGTGGTGCCCCCGCCTCCCTGCTCTGCGCCAACTCTTGCTGGAGAGTTTCCTGCTCGCCGCAAGCCAAGACAGCCGGAAGACGCAGAAATTTGAAAGGGTAATTTGCTCGGATCTTCACTTAAGCTGCACGACCATGGTGCCCTGAACCTTGAAACCCACAGCTTGATACACCCTGCAGCCGACCCAAGAAGCTTCCTTCTCCATGGAAAGCGCGCGGCTGGCATCTGCTGCCTGGAGGTTCTCCTGTGGATGTCATCTCTTCGGGCCTTCGGGTACCGGCGTTAAGCCTGGAGGTGTAGATGGCATCGTAGAACATGACGACGGTCCGACGGGTTGAGGTGCAGCACAATTGTCTCTAAATCTCCGACCGTCGTTATCAGCCTGCCTTGGCCCGCTTCATGCGAGACCATTGCACTTGTTGCCAACGGCCCATCCCCGCCTGCTAAGAAACAGTGACGGTGCTGTTCAGGCCAAATGACAGATGTGCCACACAATGCGCAGCAGCGCAGCTGCTGTTAAGAAAGTCGAAACACTGGGCCCCTCCGAAAAACGCCTTGCAAAATCTCTTTCTGCAGGGCAAAAGGGTTCTTTCAGAGATCTCCACCCACAGCGGGACGCTCCGCAGCAAAGAATCTGTCTCTCTTCTTCGTCACAACACAGTCTCCATGTGTTACAGTACGGTGCATTGGAGGAGTGTGAAAAATGCCTGAGTCCCCCCAAAGTTGGAACCGAAGCATATTGAACTATGAAAGCCCCGGAGATCTTCAATCACGTTTGTGACTCTCTCTCTCTCTCGCTCTCTCTCTCTCTCTCTCTCTCTCTCTCTCTCTCTCTCTCTCGTTTCCCTCGAGCAAAGAGGAACGCGTTGCGGCCAGTCCTGGCTCCTCTGCAAGAGCTCCTGGGCAGGTCCACCCATCATGTCGTCCCGAAGCTGTAGCTTCGGGCTGCCGTTCATTTATCTTCATGCTTTAGTGTGCCGCACCGTCCATACGTCAACCGTTTCGGCTCCTGCTTAGCCTGTGCAGAACCAAACTCCCGTTGTAGTTAACCTACTTGTAGTAACACTCCGAGACTGAGACTAACCGGCCTGTCCTGCAGCTGCTGTTGGGCCTCGTCACGCTCCCGCAGTGCCGACTCCAGCTGCTGTGCCTGGACCACGAGGTGATGCGGGTGCGGAGGAAGTTGACATGCTACAAGCACTCGCAGTTCATAATCGGACATCACTCAATGGTTGTACAGATAGGGCTACAAGTAGGGAGTTTAGGGGTTTAAAGGGTCCCTATAGCGACCCCAGAGACTTCAGCACCCGGGAAAGTTCGATGCAACTTCGAGCTGAGGTCCCCTCGCCCATCTGCTCCATGCCCACTCTCTCGCTTTGCTTGCTTGCTCCAGAGCTACGGCACGCGAGCGCGAAACCCTCTCTCTCTCTCTCTCTCTCTCTCTCTCTCTCTCTCTCTCCCTCCCCTCCTCACTGTGTCACTGAGGTGTAATGAGTGGAGACACTCAACATCGTAGCTCCATCCCGTGTCGGAGTGTCGGAGGTTGATGCTTCGGAGCGCCTGGGTGGTGCCGGTGCCCTGGATCGCTGACAGGTCGCCCTGACCAAAACTCACAGAAAATGAAGGTATAGGGGCAAAGAAAAAAATATATAGAGAGAGAGAGATGTGTATATATATATATATATATATATGGGGATTATTTGGGTTAAGGGCCCCTACCCCTTACCACCCCTGAGGGTCCCTATGATTTAGGTTTTTCGACCCTCAGACCTTGGCTTCCCCCATGTTATTATATTAGGGCGAACCAACCTCCTACCCGACCCATCTTCCAACAACTGCCATATTTGTTCAGGCCGACACAACAGCTTCACAGCGCACGAAGCAAGCTACTCACATACAAACACAACCCTTGTCAGATCCGATGCCAAGATTTGTGACAACTTAGGTCGACAGCACCTCCTACCATAGCTGTGTGAACACCTCAGTCCAGCTTTGTGATGCCTGCGGCACAAAGATAGCCGATGACTTGTGCGAAGTCCCCATCCCTTGGGCTGGGGTGATGGACATGGTGTACCAACAACATTCCTCGACGGCAGCAATCGAAGGGTATATACTACAAAATCCCTCGAAAACTACTGCCTTTTGAATGGCGCCGAATCCAGGGGACTGCAGCCATGGAGTGTGGAAAGTCATGCACTCGCAATCCTGCACTCAAGAACTGCCTGCAGCTGTTGTATTGTGCTGGCATCTGCCGCACGGTGCTGCTCGAGCGCTGTCATCGCCTCCACTTGGTATTGTGTTATACATTACTACATTATACTGTACTATGACTTTACATGATCTTATATGAAGTCATATCATCTTATGCTCTGCTATCTTATCTTGTATACATGCTATGTTATATTGCAGCGTGCCCTTATATATATATAAGAATATGGGCTTGGCATCTTCTACCAACTGCCGCTTCGCTACTAAGCAGAAACTTTCACGACAGGGGGCCAAAGCGATATTATCAAACCTCACGGTAGAATTCAAGTAACAAGCATCAACACATCCGAAGCAGGGCGGTCTTACAAACGACTTTCCAAGCATGTGCCTGGCTCCGCTGCTCCAGCTGCAGCTCTGCCTTCATGAAGTCTAACATTGCGTGCAGTCGTGAAGCCCGCGCTGCACCGAACGATCCGACCACCCTTCCCGACTTCGATCGAGTTCACAGTGTGCTCATCCTTCAGCATATTAGGACCTCCCCTAGCCGCTCTAGCCATGCAGAAGCCATGATGTGTGTGCTTATCCGTACTCGCACAAACCACCCATGAATTACGAGCAGCTCCTTCTGAAGACGCATGATGGGCATGGCCTCTTGGAGCCGTGAGTGCAGCTCTTTGCTTGCCTGGCGGCGGCTTGCAACGCTTGCGGCAGCGTGCCGTGGAAGTCAGGATGCCAGATAGTTGCTAGCGTGCAGGCTCAAACACGTACGATAATAAATATTCGGTGTTGTGGTCCTGCTCAGAGGTCTTGCTTCTGAATCACCGAAAGCTATGATGGTCGCCTCGCCGGCTACTTTGCTCACTTTTCGTGGATTCTGTCGTATAGCGCCCAGGGCTGTTTATGGGAGTCATCACACTTCTGGAACCCATCCTCCACACGCTGATGTGCAAGGCGCAAGGAGCAGCCGCGACAGTAGCGACTTTCATGTGTGCTGCATTCGGGGTAGTGCTGGGTTTGTCAACCTTAGACGACTCAAAACATGGCATCGTACCGAGTTGCTGCAACTCCCAAACCCTGAGCAGATTGTAACCGTTCCTGCGACCTCGTTCGTACCAAGTATCCCACTTGTGCAAGAGCCCTAGGAGCCCCGAAGCGCGGGAGTTGAAGTTGGACCCTAGGATGATAACGCCCAGCCTCCCTGCTCTGAGCCAACTGCTGCTGCAGTGTTTCCTGCAAGCCGAGACAGTCATTGCACAGCAGGGAAACCCCAAATCTTCACTCCGGTAAAGTAGACTGGGCCCTAATACCCTCAGCTACACCCTGCAACTGGGCTCGAGCCCTGCTACCAAGCTGCATTCTCCATGGAAAGCGCGTGGCTGGCATCTGCCGCTTGGAGGTTCTCCTGTGAATCTCACATCCGTCGCTCTCTGCTCTCGCTCTCCCTCCCTCCCTCCCTCGCTCTCTATCTCTCTCGCTCTCTCTCTCTCTCTCTCTCTCTCTTTTTCTCTCGTTTCTTCGACGCAGCCAAGAGAAGGGCCGGACCACAGCCAAATCGAACAGCAGCTGCATGGCCGTGCGGCCCGTCCTGGCTCTTCTCCAGGAGCTCCTGAACAGTTTAAGCTCATTTCAAAGCGGGGCTTCGGGGGCGGCTACCGTTACAAAATGCTACAAAGCCACCATCGCTGTTTACTTGCTATGTTGCTCAAATATTCTGGAATGTGCAAACCGGAGCCTGAAGACCTCCGGGCTTACCGGTCTGTCCTGGAGCTTCTGCTGGGCCTCGTCACGCTCACGCAGCGCCGACTCTAGCTGCTGCGCCTGTTCCGAGTACTGCAACCTCAAAACCGTGAACAACCTGGAAAGAAAGCTTTAGCACACAGGAAGGTGATTGCATGCACTTTCGAGCTTTGTGGCTGGGAGTTCACGGCGTACATCGTTCGAATGCACCCCGCATCTTATAACAGCTTCTTCCAATGACCCTGGGTTCCCCTCCGCCCGAATGCCCGAAGCCCTTCGTGCTGCTTCCACCGACACTCTTTTTATGCATCCAGCCTGCAAAGCCTCCACCGACACACTGAAGCCCGTAGCTTGCTTAAGTTTTGCTCGGATCGTTGCGCTTCGAATCGCCTGGGCTGCGCCGGCGTCCTCGACCTGACACAACCGGTCGGCATCAGGGTGTTAATGGACCTGCTGCTGCTGCTACCGCTACCCTACACCCGAAACCCTTGCTTCCGAAGGTTTGACGGAACCCCTTAACAAGCCTGGTGAGGCCACATCTCATGCCCCATGCATCTTCCGACAATACACGTCGGGGCCTTGAATGGGCTTGGGGAGTATATCTAAGGACTGGAGCGGAATAGGACTATTACTGATGATCCGGCCCCGATACAGTAACTCCTATAAGCCAAGCACAGAACAGTGTTCACGTCGCTCTAACCAATGCAGCTTCATGCAACAGGAACTGCCAGCCGACAGGACTTGCTGTCGGCCCGGCAAAGCCTGCGTCCGCGTCTTACGAACCCGCAGGCGATCCCCACAGCGCCCAAGCCTCTCATCAAACCCCTGAGCCCCAAAACCACAGATTCCCTCTAAACACCCTCATAAGCACCGGAATAATTCCCCTAGCACTGAAACCCCGCCCCAGAAACGGCCAATGAAAACCCTGATGCCCCAAACCCTTGACACATTGAGCCGACTCTGCCTGGGTGTTTTCATCGTCTCCGATGAAGAAGGTCTCGGGCTCGGGTGCATCCGCTGCACGGCGGTGCTCGAGAGCTGTCATCGCCTCTATGGTATCTTTAGGGCTTTCATGGGGCCCCTTGTGCTTCTGAAGGTTGTGGAGTGTACGTCTTATGCTTGTAGGCATGGGGCTTACGGGGTTCATGTTCTCACAACTCGGACTTTGCCAGGGAGTTTTTGGCTTGCGAGTTGGACTCGGCACTGCATTGCTAGGATTCACGACAAGAGGTTCTGCTCAGTGAAGAAATCAGAGCGCAAGGGCTGAAGGGGCTTCAATTGCTAGGATTTGGGGGTTTCCGAAAATAGGGGACCCCAATATAGTGCCCTAAATAGTAGGATCCTTGTTATAGGGACCCCTAAATAGGTACCCCTGTTTTCGGACACTCCCATTTGGAAGGAGCTTGGGGTTTGTCGGGAGTTGGCGGCCCGGTGTCGTGTGTTCGTTGTGGGATGCTCTGCTCCCCCGCTCGAACTCCTCGACTCCTCACCCGTCAGCTACAACGGACCGACTTTCACGACGGGAACTGACAGGTCATCATACTTGACGAACGATTCGAAACAGCTTGCAGCGGATTATGTCGTCCGAGAAGTCTCCACCCGTCCAAATCCATTCCATACAAGCTCTTCGAGGTGCACTCCATTACCATGGCCCCGTGCCAAGACCTTTCTACAGTGCCGAGACGTACCTGGCTGCGCTGCTCGAGCTGCAGCTCTACCTTCGCTGGATATCGCTTTGCAAAGTCGTCACAGGCGCGACTCCCTAACAAACCCCTTGACTTTCCGGGAAAAGCACATGGTATTTCGGAAAACCAAAGGCCTATGTGCATGTGTGGATAGTAGGATCCTTACGGACCTGTACGATAGTGGCCACCGAAACAGCAACCGCAACTTCTGAAGCAAGCACAATCTGGGCCTCTTGGAGTCGTGCCTGCAGCTCTTTGCTGGCCTGGCTTGCAAGATCGCTAAGCTGCACTTCCGGACCTATCGCCGAACAAGCTTGTCTCAACCAACGGGACCATGGAAGCACAGGTCAGCTTGGAAAGCATGGGAGCTTCATAACGGGTAATTCTGAGCTTCTATTCTGAGTGTATGTGTGCAGTTAGAAGTACAAAGTCACTGAGGCTCCCGAATCATGCACAGACCTGCACAGCGCATGACCTCCTGAGTAGTCAGTAAGTGCAAGCCGACGCACCACGGCCTGAATCTTACAGCCTGACCATACTAGACTCTAGACAGAGTAGGAAGCAACGGGAAACAGCACATGTCCCAAAATACTACGACAGTGCCCAGCCTCTCTGCTCTGCAACAACTCCTGCTGGAGGGCTTCCTGCAGGGTAGGGGGTCATTGAACCGCAGATTTGCACTGAGCCTTGAGAACCTGCGCCTCGAGCCTCTACCGAAGCCTCAAACCGCAAACCCTAAACCAAACGGCCCTCTAAACTCTGAACCGGTAAAGCATAAAACGACCTAACTATCCTAAACCTTCGGCCGTAGAAGCAATACACAGTTGTTTGACCTAGACTTTGCCGAAGCCTAAACCATGCCGAGGTTCATTCTCCATGGAAAGGGCGCGGCCGGCATCTGCCGCTTGGAGGTTTTCCTGCTTGGTTTAAGAAATAAGATATTGCACTAGTACACGAGAGTATATTGCGCTATATTCATAGTCAGAGCTATTTAAAACTAGATCACACTACGTTATACGACTACAAATACAAAATCACGTAAGCTTCGACTTCATTCACGTGTCGTTCTCTTCGAAAAGGATCTGAGATTATGTTTGTTTGTATTACATGACGATTAGATTGAGGTAATATATTGGAATAGATGAGATTGGAGCAAGATGAGTTTGGACTAGGCCAGACGAAACAAACAGATTAAACCCCCATTCTATTGTATTGCGATATGTAGTACAGAGCTACACTGCATGACACAAGAAGTGCAAGCTTTCTGGCCTTGGACAAACAATGGCTTAGCTAGTGTCGGCCGACTTCTTGTGGTGATTTATCGCCTCCGATTCGTCCAAACTTCCCTCGACCACTGGTGGGTGTGCAGACCAGTCCAAAGAGTCCAACACTTAAAGGCACTTGAAACAAGGCCGTTCAACGGTATCTTGTCGTGTCTCTATCTACCTGTTGCTGTGCACGAGTCGGACCGCAGGCGAATCGGATCGTGCATGCTGCGCAATTCGTCCTGACTCCGTTGCATAGCCTCCTGGGAAGGAAAGGCTAATGTCAAGCTTTCAGACTACCGTCGGGGTTTTGTCTAAGGCCAAGGTCTTGATGCGTCCGCTCTAGTTTCGCTTACCACTGCTGCGCCACTACAGGCTCACTGCCAAGTCTTCGACGCATACTCGTGAGGCTGTGCAGGCTGGCAGTTTCGTGTTTGGGTCAGGCAGGCTTGGCCTCATCTGCGACAGGTCTGTCCTGCAACTTCTGCTGGGCCTCGTCACGCTCCCGCAGCGCCGACTCCAGCTGACCTGCCTGGACTTCAGGGTCATTATGGAAGCAGCCAGGAAGCTGCGTAATCTGTAACTTTCAAGGTTTCGGGCCTATGTTGGGGGAGTTAGGCCGGCAGATTCTGCCTTCGGCTAATGTGGGACCAACTTGCATGGCAAAAGCAACGTTCTGTGCTGCATTATTATGGATGCCTTCATAATTGAAACAGGGAGGTGACTGAGCTAGTCTAGGAGTCTAGATATATACACATCTCAGATGTGTATATATCTAGGCTCTAGACCATAGCCCACCTACATACACCTGCCTACCTACACATACTACCTACCTACATACATACATACATACATACATACATATTATATGCAGATATACATACGAACAAACAAACATCCGCACATATACACATCCATCCATCCATCCATCCATCCATGCATGCACACATACATTCAATAGTTATTACATACACAAACATAACATGTTGTACATACAGGCGTACATACATACCGATATGCATCTGCAATCGTATATACGGCCGTGCTTATCTACCCAACTAAAGGATAGGTTTGGGATAGATTTGTCCGACTCTCCTGTGCGGATATGGGAGTTTCCGAAAATAGGGACCCTAATATGGTACTCTAAATAGTAGGATCCTTAGGATAAGGACCCCAAAGTAAGGTACCCCTAATTTTCGGAAACTCCCGTGTGTAAGTTTCGGCTCGAGAGCCTGGCCTGGGATGCTCCGGTCTCGTGGATCGAGGCCAGATCGCCCTGGCAAGAGATCCAGTCGGCTCGGGGTTTAGGGTCTTAGGGTTTTAGGGTCTTAGGGTTTAGGGTTATAGGGTTTTAGGGTTTAGGGTTTTAGGGCTTTAGGGTTTTAGGGTTTTAGGGTTTAGGTTTTAGGGTTTGAGTAGAGGGGTGTCTTCTATGGGTTTGAACGGAATGTACTTTGGATTTTTTGATGCTGGCACTCGGCAATACCAGGCGAGGTCTGTGGACAGCCAGATGCTTCGACAGACAGGGTGTTTACCTATCCATCCTACTGTCAAGCTGAACTTTTATTATGTTTTCGAACATTCACCGTTCATTGGGCTTAGCAGCTTAGCAGTCATTATCAGCATGGCTACTGTTATCTCTATGTAAATATTTATCTTGTTAAATCCGTCGGTCGGCGTATCTTCTTGTTGTGAACGTTTGACATGTTTAATTGCCAATACCATCTGCTCGTCCAGCCATACGTATCTGCTTATCTGAATTGTTCGTTTAGAGCCATGATGCACGACGTGACAGGTGTCATCAGCAGCAGTACCTGGACTCCTAGTTGTCGTAAAAGTAGTAGTCACCGTCGTCGCTCTCGATAATTATTTGCTTGTTTGCTTATTCAGAACTATGTACAGCTTCTCTGCTTAGTTAGCCGTTTGTTGCTGTATATATACTGTCTTGTGACATTAGGCACCCGGGTCCGCACTTTGTTGGGCTGTTGAGGTGTCGAAGTTCATCGGAATGTGGCTTCTTGCGGATGCAATGGCAACACAACACCATCAAGCTTCTCCTAAGCCGGACTACGACAAGGTTCGGGCTTAGGGCAAACTTATAACAACACCTCCAAGCAACTCTTGTGCTGAAGAATGACCTGCACCACCCACTCCAAACGATGCCTTCAGGCCCTGGATAGCCGCGGAGTCTGCTGCACGCTGGCGCTCGAGCTCTGTCAGCGCCTCAATCACGGCATTCGGGTTTGGAGTGGGCTTTGCTTTGTTTTCCCAAAGAGTACGGTAACAGTATGGTGGGGATGTTGGACGCATTGGGGTGGTCTGGGGTACCTTGGCGCCATGCACACGAGCAGTACCTAGCAGGCCATCGAGTATCGACACCAGTCGACTGGCTCGGATCTGGAGAATCCTAGTTCCTAGTTTTCATGCACTCCCGTTTTGCTAACATGAGTATTTGCTTGCCCCCACTCACGTCGCACATCTTCTTGAAGTCCCTGCAACACCGGGATGCGCCTGACTCCGCTGCTCAAGCTGCAGCTCTGCCTTCATGGGCTCTCGCCGTATAGGAGAGCTTAGTGAACAAAGGAAGGCATGATTTCGTAATCATAAATCAGAAGGCATGGGGGAAGCAGGTTTGAGGGATCCTTGCAGCCTCAGACTCCCCAGTAGCGGGCGGAAGGTTTCAGACGCTTAAGTGACCCAACCGATGCAAACGGTCACGATTGCATTCCTGGGAAGCAGACTTCGGACCCAGCTCCCCTGGCATAAGATGCATGAGGGAGATGGTGGGCCTCTTTGAGGCGTGCCTCCAGCTCTTTGCTTGCCTGGCTGCGGCTTGCAGAAGTGTGCAGATGCGCGTGCCGCCAAATGGGAGTTGCCGAACATAGGGGAACCCAATATTGTAATACCCTGAATAGTAGGATCTTTATTATAAGGACCTGCAAATAAGGTACCCCTAATTTTCGGAAACCCCCAAATTTTGAAATGGATTTGGGCCCAAAGCTAGATTCGCCTTACAAGGCAATTGCGGGCAGGCGTCGCGCTTCACACAAGTGTCAGCATTGAAAGACCAACTGCACACAGCACAACATCTGAGATGTTTGGGGGCTTGGTCTCGGGCACAAGAAAGAGCGTGTTCATGCACACAGCCTCCCTGTCTCCCCCTTACACAGCCTGAGATGCCGGAAAAATATCGACTGGGATGCATGACCCTCGTCGGCGTTTGCAAGACCAGTCAGTTGTTCTGTCTTGTTGCGTGTGTCCCGTGGTTAATTGAAATGAAATATTCTTACTTCATTGTACCCCAGGAGATCGCACAAAGCCTCTCAAGGTGCCATCCTTTCTGAAGACCTCTTACGATGCCTCGCCCCAAAAGAGTTTATAGCCTATCCACGTGTCTCGAGTCGAGTCTAGGTGCGGCCCCCACTTAACAGCATCCGAACAACAGAAGCTGGCCTACAGACTCGTCCATTCCTGCATCCAACAAGTCTTGCTAAACTCCGGAACATGTCATCTCTGATCGCTTGTGTCAAATCGTCTCCCCTGTGAAATATATGTTTGAGACTAATCAATCTCGCAAAATATCGTCACTCTTCATGGGAGTCTGTCTCAGGACCTCTTCAAACGGCAGCAGTCGTCGGACTTCCAGTTGCAAGCGCTCTGCCTCTCAAACGAATGCTTCGGAAGGGGAGCTGAGATGGTCTGGGCTTTTGTCGGAAACATGGGGTTGCATAATTTGCCCCTGCATGCCGCATGCCGGCACCAGGCTGAACATTTGTGGTCTCGCTTGACAACTTGCGGCTTGATTTCTTGGCCCCGTGTCCATGAGAAGATTGACAGGCTCCGTCCGTGGTGCTCAGAGGTCTCACCACGCCCACGGCATTTTTACGCGTTGTTGCCGATTGCGCCAGGGCGAGTTAGGGCAAGGGCTTTGTGTTTATCACACGTTGTGGCTGCTCATCGGCTCGGAGAAGTTGCTGTTAGTACTCACTCCAAAAGCGAATGTACTGTAGCGTAGTGCATAGGTACGATCTGCGCATGCTTGTCTAAGTGGTTTAAGGCAAGATGACTAAAATTTGACCATGTGACATGAAGTGGCTTCCTACAAAGACAGAGACGTCGCCTCCTGACTTTGCGCTAGATCCTGCTGGAGATGGTCCTGCACGCCCTCGGCTTGCACGGGTTCGGAACACCAAGTTCCATTCGCCGGGAATTCTATGGAGCCACAGAGGCATTCCCCATTGTTCACACTTGGTCTTGAACCCTACAAGCATCAGCCACAAGCACCCTCTCAAGGGCTGAAGCCTCAGAAGCCTTAATCATCCTATAAACCTTCAGCCGGTCGAGCTTCATTCTCCGTTGGCGCGGGGGCGTCAGCTGCCGTTTCCTGGCTTAGCTTTACACCGAACAAGCCTCAGGAAAGAAAAGCTGAAGCTTGTCTCCTAGTCTTTTGCTATCAACGTTGGGAGCCCTTAATAATAGCTGTCAAGCTTACGTACAACTACAAGCCTTCTATGGGGCTCGTCTTGAGTAGTGTGGTGCCCACCAAAACTTTCAAGAATCCTGCTCATCGGGACACTCATATGTGAGCCGAGAAGGAACACTTCCTTGGAATACTGCAAGGATATACCCTGCATGCAACCGCTGTTTGTTCAGCTGCCTCTGGCTGTCGATCTACCTTTCCTTCCTTCCTTCCTTCCGACCTGCCACTTACCTACCTACTCATCTATCAATCTATCTACCTACAAACAACTTTAAACCCAAATGTATAACAAAAGAACAAACGTACACATCCCTCCCTGGCATGGAGGCCCGCCCACATCTTACGGACCTTTGGGCTACATAAATGTCGACGTTAAAGTTACGCCGGGTGCCTTGCTTCCGAAGCCCATGCCCGCGCTGCTCAGCTTACTGCCGAGCTCCAGGCCCTTGCGGACACGTGAAACAAATATGGGATGTGGTTGCGATGCTAACCACAACAAGCAAATCAGCGAATCGCGCGCTCTGGCCATCACCAGAATTCACACATTCACGGCCGTCATCATGTTCATGTTCATCTTCGTCCCCACCAGCATTATCAAGACCAGAACCATCAACTGCATCCCAATCCTCATCTTGATCATCATCTTCTTCTTCGCCATCACCATGATAATCATGCTATCGTTACACTACACATCATCGCCACCAACACAGCATCGCAGATTTCGTTCGGATTTGCTTCCTGGGATTTTGGGTTTGGGCTCTCCAAAGAACTTTAGGAAAGCCGAGGAATTTCTGAGCCTCGCAGCTTTCAGGAACTTCAAGGTCTTCCGGGGAACCCTTACAGGTCCCTCAAACAGGAGCCAACCCTTCCTGAAAGCCCTAAAACCCCTAAACCTCTCTTCAGGATTTCCTACTTTTCGAGGCCTGAGTGCCTTGCTGGCTGGGGAATGTTGGATGTTTGAAGCATGGAAGAGACCGCCTTCCGTGCCCCAAGAGGTCGGGAGCCTGGGTGTTGTCATGCCAGGAGTCTATGTAAGTAATGTAATATATATATATATATATGAAGATATGAATATATATATATATGTATATATGTATATATATAACATAATATGTAATGTAATATAATAACATATAGAAGTATATATATATATATACATACACATGTGTTTCTTGTTTTTGTTTTTTGTGGCTCGGCTCCGTCCGCCTTACACCTAGAACTGAAAACCATAAACTCCAAGAAGAGTCAGAGGAAGGCCTTGGTACCGATCTCGAGGCCGCCGGCGATGCCCATCTTCCCCAGATCCAAGCCCTGCCTTGACCAACTTTTGTCTTAGGGGTCGGGCTTAGGGTTTAGGGTTTAGGATTTAGGGTTTAGGGTTTAGGGCTTCTCCACATCCACAAATGCTCGATTCCGTAACGCTTGGCAGCTTTTTGTGTCTTGAAGGTGAGGATGTTGCTAAGCGACATGGATCGGAGTTGACATAGGATACATGCACACATGTGCACAAGTACGGGCATATAAGTTTGTAAGTGGGTGCATGTGTGTGTGTGTGTGTGTGTGTTTGCTTATCTTTGCTTGTATGCGCGCATATACATCTAAATACATACCCAAGTAAATGGAAGAATACGTCAATAAAGTATGCGTGTAGGAGTGTATAGATGCAGTATACAGTGCCTGTGGCACACACGCGCAATGCATAAGGGTACCTCTATGCACTTATGCGCTCCCTACTACCATCTGACTATCACGAAGCGGCGACGAGTACTACGGCTGCTGCGGCTGCCAAGCACTGTGTCTATTAAACAAGAGACCATGTCTTGTGCTGCGTCTTTTAGCTCGCGCCTGTGCTGCATAGGATGTCCATGTGTCTTCGCATGCCGCGGGCCATGACATATGCGCACTTCAGCGAATCTGCAATTAGGTACGTATGGGCCAGTTGAAGGCTCGTGCATGCTTGTGCACTGTTTGATAGCTCTTCAAGCGCCTCTGACAGTGGCCTCATGCCTCATCGTGCTTCAAGATAGATGGTATCATGGATGCATGCAGTTCTGGCACATGCACATGAATGAGTCCTAGTCCGACGAGACGATGCACACACGAAACAAACGAGCAAATATATGTGTATATATATGTATGTATAATACATATTTATATGTACACAAACATATGTGTACATGCGTGCATGTGCACGAGTTCGAATTTCTTACATGCGGTGGGATAGCTCTGGCCAAGGAGTCTCGCTTTCTGTTCCGTGGCTTAAGTAGTATCATGTAGTATCCTAGGTTGCCTCCTGTCTGTTTCTACTGAGTTGGTTTGAACACCATTCTGTTCTCTGTAGGCTTCATTTCCACGTGCTCATACATGTAAGGGCACGTGAATGTACGTCGAGTCTTGCTTCTTCACAAGTAACTGTAGGGGTATGAACTATGAACAGCATATAAAGACAAGTGTAGTAGAAGTACATAATGTGCGCATCGTGCTTTTTGTAGTCTTTCCCATGGTCACCCAGGCGAGACCGGAGTGCTTGCATTAATACATACAAGCCTATACCAAATATGACAGAATCACAAATAGTATATAAGCCTAGACTAAATCCTCCACACTCATCACGGAGCTCGTCGAGCCCGAGTGGCTCCATGACGCTTCCGCCGAGGCTGCGCATGGTGCTGCCGAGGCCAGACATGAAGGTCGCCGGGGTGGGCTCTTCCTCATTAGTACTAGTATTAGTATTACTATTAATACTAGTATTAGTATTAATACTAATATTAATATACATGCTGGCAGTTTCAGGGAAGGAGGGATCGAAGAGCTCATGGCTTTCGTCGCAGTATGGGTGCGCGGTAAAGCCATGGGTTTCCGATGCCCATGCAGCCCCAGAGGCTCATACGAGGAACTTCGAGGCCAGACCAAGACACATCAAAGCAAAGCTGCACGTGGATCCAGAAACCCAAATCCACCGACGGGAGAGGTCCTCGACGGCATCAGGACGCTCGAAGGTCACCAACACCGGCCTGGGCCCCAGCTTCCTCGGTAGACTTGCTGCCGCAAGGGCTTTCGGAACCCTGTCCCACTAGCTTTCTCATATTAACACATTATGCAGTATTTGTTTATGGCCTACTACAGAACAATGTATTATATCACATCATACTATATAATTAATGATGCTCGTCGTTCTACAACCCCCGCAAGACTAGACAGTGCTGGTCATCTTGGTCGGTGTTCTCTGTGGCTTTGGCTTTTCCACACACATGCTGCAGGCCGACATGCCTGCATACATACGTGCAGACAGACAGGAAGGTACGGAGAAAAAGCCTCTATCTATCGATCGATCCATCCACCTATCGATCTTACAGTACGAGACTTATACATAATAAATAAGCATAAACATACAAGTGCATCTGTGATCCGCCTGCACACAGCACGCACAAGCTCCGGTATGAGAACATAAGTGTATATATACATATAATTATAAAGAGAAGGCTAGTCAATGTGTGTGCGCCTATGCATTCAACACTTACACATGCGTGAAACAGGTGTATGTACATGTACACGCGAGTGTGCAAATGCGCAGTTCGTGTCAGCAACTACACAGAACGCGCTCGCTTCAAGGACATTGCCTGTGCGGCTCGCATGATCACAGCACATGTGCGTGTGGTGGAGGGAAGATGATCACAGCATATGCGCGTGTGCTGGAGGAGGCTCTGCACCAACTCATCCCAGGCCAGCTTGGTCACGTCCTCCCCGCCGACGAGGATGAGCTGATCCTTGGCTGTCACTCCACCACTCTTTGAACCTCCATGGACATAATGGCCAAATCCTTCCCTTGGCCTTTCAACTGCTGCAACAACAAAAGCGTCGCCTAGAAGATCAGAAGAGTGCCGAGCAACTCCCTTCTGCAGATCTCGGTTGTAAGCCAGGCCAGTACTGTGGACCTGCCATCGTCTCAAGCATCTGCGGTTGGGGGCCGATCGTGATGCCTCGAAGCCCCGAATCGAAGCTCCGAAACTCCGACTCCTGACTGCCATGCCAGAGCAAGGAATCCTGTCCATGTTCAGAATTTTATGGAAGCTCCAGCCCGAACATCCTCGTCTGCAGCATTCGTACCGGGGGACCCCGAATCGATGAAACACGAAAGAAAGGCAAAGAGGGGGAGCCATGATCCCCAAACTCTGGCCTGCCTGCTTCTACGCAGAAAAGACTCGCAAAAAGGGGGCCGACACGCTTCTTTCTAGTCGTTACATAGATGCAGCATCTAGCCATGTCACGTAATGTAGTGGTTTCCACGAAGAGAAATTCACTGTCCCTGCATCCCTAATTAAGGTACCCCAAACCTACGAAACTATCCTTTCTACTTGTAAGACCTCCTGTGCAACGACGCGAGGCCCCCTCCTGCTCGATGACGAAGGGCGCGGCAAGCTCCTTGAACTCGATGCCCAAGGATCCCTTCCTTAGGATTTTGGGCTTCTTTGGGGTTCTGCGGCGACTGCCTGAGGAGCGACGAGACATGCTCCACAACGTCCAGGAGGTAGAAAGGGAGGGGCATTTCCAAGTGGAGCCTCTATACTTCATGGTTCAATGTGGTGGGTGCATGCGCTTCCGCAACGAAATTGTTGGCCCAAGTGGCCGGCGGCGCGAAACGTTTGCGCTGTAACGCTGCATCTACATCTGTCAGGAAATCTCACTAAGGGCCCGGGAAAACCAAGATATCCCTGTTATCGTAATATAGTGTTGATATAATTGTAAGATTCCATGGCCTAGATTCCAAGCTTAAAGGCTCATACCAGGGATTGGTTCAATCTCTACAACCGGAATCTAGTACTGACTCATGACCTAGATCCTGGTGCTTGGATTCCTTACTGGCGGCTCTTGATCATGGTCTAGCTCCTGCTTCCAAGCATAATTGTCTATCTCCTGTTGTGTCTTTTGGTTCCGCTCTTTGTTCGTAATGAAATGAAGTGTAAGCACGAAACAAGAGCGGAACCAAACACACAACAACGTGAGAAGAAAGCACGAACGACAAACGAAATAAGAAAAGAAAAACACCATTTCGTTTGGTTTAATTCGTTCGCGGGTGTCGTGTTGTGGTGTGAATGAAGAGAGCAAAAGGACCAAAATACAAAGTGAAAAGAAACAAGTGAAAGAACCGAGCGCGTGTTCTTTTCGCTTTGATTTTGTGTCCTTTGCGAACGAACTCACGTCAGTATAGTATAGTAGGATTGTAGTCTTGTATTATAGTAGTATTGTAGTATTACAATAAGAACCACTCAACGAACAATCACGCAAGTGGTGTACATGGAGCAGGGGCGAAGTCGGTCTAAGCAAACGCTGACTTTCCCATGTACTGGGGAAATGCAGCATTCGTTTCGGCTTACCTTCGGCAAATGCCTATTTTTCGGATCGCTCTTTTTCTTCCTCTTTCTTTCTTTCTCTCTCTCTCTCTCTCTCTCTCTGTCTCTTTCTCTCTGCCTCTGCATACATCGCACGCCGAATCTAACCCGTCGCCACCAGGCGACGCACGCCCAGAAAGAAGTCTCACGAGTCTTTGCAGTAGCTGGCCATGAGGCTGAATTCGCCAAGTCGCTGCTCGAATACAAGGTCTATCCTTGGTTTTAGGGCGAAGGGTTTAGGGGTTTACGCTCTCGCAACTCGGACATGCCTGACGAGGTCTCTGGTGCTGTGTGCTTTGACGGTCGGGACTACAAGCTGACTTTCAGTGCTACACCACGAGGAGCATTGAACACTCAAAAGCGGCCATGGTTAAATAAAGCTACCCTGAAAGTCAGCATGACTCGGTGGAAACGTGCCGAGCAAACTCTAGGTTTAGGGGTTTAGGGCTTAGGGGTTTTGGGCTTCTGGCAGTTGGGAGATCACACACGCAATATCCAGCTGTAACCGTTAAGCTCAGGGCTTGAAGTCTATCTTGCGACTCATTCGCAAACGGACATGACTCCCTAAGTGACACTTTCCGGCATGCTGCAGTTGCAACTTACTGTGCCAACTGCAACTTTCTTTCCATCCTCTGCCAGGAGGCCGTCGCAATGGCGCTGGCTGCGGGACCTGCAAGCTGTGTTAGTACTCATCATAGCAGGTACGAAAACAGTAATACTAATTAACAAGCATGTCGATGATCAGAACTTCGCAAACACATGTGACGTAGCCAGGGTGCAGGCGTACTCGAGCATCCACAAATGCAAGTGATGGGTCTTGAACGGCTTCGGGGTACTGTGTGCGATTCGATCGAGGTCCAAGTCATGCGCCTGTAATGCCGACTCTGTTTCCTCTGTGTTTGGCGCATCTGCTTGGACGAAACTAAGCGGCTCAGCAAATTCAAGCTCGAGCATACTACAGGAGCCTGAGTAAATAGTTACCACTGTTGCTGCTTAAGCTTGCTTAGAGCACTTTCACAGTAATCTGCCCAAAGCCCTATACTAATTATTCGGACACCTATAATCGAAACTGGGGTTGCTTCCAAGTCAAGTCTTGAGCTGCACAGCTGGCATCCAGCCCTGCTGGTTGTCAGTATGCGGCACACTGCGAATCTCGAAATGCCAAGAGAACAGCTTCAAACACCCGGAAGCTCTAGCCTCAAGCAAAAAAATACTAAGACCAGCAAGCATACAATAATTTTAGTACAAGTAACCAGAAGACAGATCATAATTAATGAGAAGAACACTGCTAGGAACAATTAACAACAAGCGTCATAAGCATCAAAAGGCCTCAGACAGACGTGGCAGAGGCTCCACCGTCGACTCCGGAGCGATGTCGGGAGCCGCGGAGGGCTGTACCAACGGGGAGTCGTGGTCGAGCATCATGGCGGGCGCTAACCGGAAGGTTTCGAAGCTCACACTTGGAAAAGCCAGGCGATAACTGAAGGTTTACGCTCTCGCAACTCGGACGCATCCAGACGAGGTTCTCAAGGTTTAGGGTTTAGTGTGGTATCATCATCGTCATACAAATGACGCACCACTAACAATGGCTTCAAGGACTGTAGATTCTGCGGATTAAGAATGCTACAAGAAGATGCATGAAGGCTTTGAATGTCGTGTTCATGCATCACGGCTTTGGGGGTATCCCAGCTAGTTTTCGGGGTTTAGCGATCGCGGCTTCAGGAGCTTGGAGATACTGAAGTCTATGTTAGGAGCGTCGCTTCGAAACTAGCTGTCACAGCCATTACGGGCAACTAAGCATGGAATTCTCTTCTGTGTGTGCTTCTCTCGCGACCGCTTGGGCAGGCTTTCGAGATGTGGTGCCGGTGAAGCCAAGGTTCAGAGTTCAGGGCACACAGTACCAGTCCCACCAGCTGTACAGTTTTCAAACTGAGAAAAGGATAATTACTGTACCGCTGCATTTAGTCTTGACACTGACATCCTATAGCCTATAACTGTTCTGTGACGACGGGCGACTGGAAGGCTGAAAGCCTGGAGCGAAGTGGCGGAAGCGTTTCAGTTCCGCCATGGATGAGCAACACGCCGGTTGTGAGATCTTGCTGAAGCAAGTGCTCGGCATCCTTCGTGCCACCCAGAGCCGCAACATGCCAACCCCTGAACAACAATGGCTTTAATGTGGAATCCTGCACTAGTCAGTCGAGTCAATGTCTCTCACTGCTGCAACCATTCGTCCTGGTCTTCTGCCTGGCTTCTACGAAGTCATTGTTGAAGCATCAGAATGCGGATGACCGTCATGTCGATTTTGGATCGAATTAGGGCAGAACACCGTATGTCCACAAAGCCAGTTACGATGCTGCTATATAGTTCTGGGATGTTCTGGGCATCGTTATCTGGGCAAGCAATAACATCTAGTTACCGTGCCAACCCAAAGAAAACAAACTAGCCTGTGCATTGATTAGTTTTTTGCGACTCCTGCTTACTCGTTTTGCTATTGCCAGTATTGTGACGTTATTTCTCGTATTATGATTTTATGTGGGTCTTCGTGCATGAAGTGGCTCGCCTGGTCGCTCCTGAGAGTAGGTAAGTACACATACTGCTTGCAGCTGTCCAGTCATGGGTTACTCACCTAGACGATGTCCCGCACAAACTAACAACAACCAACCACGACACCCCCCACCCCCCCTTCCGACCCGGGCTCCGTGCCAAGACAGGTGAAGGCAAAGAGCTTGGTGCATCAAACCTGATAGTTGGAAAGCGTTCAACCACATCACGGGTCCAGCATCCCGTTTACCATCCTGTGCAAGTTTATTCGGGTCCGGTTTCGCATCTCTGAGGCATCAAAAGAGAGGACGTGGGTTCATTCATGGCTCACAGCCTTGCTGTGGACAAGGCGCAGACGGTTCACAGAGATTCAACCTGGCAGCGCGACTCCCAAACCATAGAATCATACTAACCTCAGACATGAACTCTCCAGACAACCCACACATTCAAATAGGAACCCCTGTAATCTCCCTCATTCCAGCAACCCCCTCCCGCGCAAGTGGACGACGACGAAAGCTTCTGCACAGAAGGGGAGGCCGAAATGGGAAGGCAGAATGTACAGAACTTTTTGAAAACGAAATCTCCGACTTAACAGGACAGATGGGATGGAACTTACTGTGACTATTTCTCATGACTCATGAAAGTACAACATACGATATCAGAACTACCAATGTCATCATTGGGAATCCAAAGCAGCATCCACTTTACGACGCAGAAATCACGTCTGCTGCCGTCTCCTGCGCATGCAGCTATGGGACCTAGATGGACCTAGGCATGCCAAAGGCATCGCATCTCAGGCTGCCTTGCAGCGTGCTTGGATGTGTGTGAACGCAACGATGGCTTTCGATGGAGCACGGCGACGCAACACCCCTCGGATCGAAATTCGAAGAAAAACAGACGTGTACGGGTTTTTGTTTAGGGTTCGCAGCGCGTTTTTCTAGAAGGCTAAGGGCATAATAAACTACTGTAGCCAAACGCATCGCATTTGTCCCGGTAGGCCCCATTACACTTGGCACTCTGAAAGCTTGCTGCGAGGCCCTGCTCTGCAGCTGCTCTGCCAGTCTACGACCTACACTCATCTTACCAAAACCCTAGGCCCCAAACCCTTAAGCCCGTATACCCCCTAAACCCCGAAGCCCTAGTCTAAACTAGCACTCGGCTTGCCATGCTCCATCACTCGGCTCAGGTCCTTCGCATCTCTGAGCCACCACAAAAAACAGCGCATCTTTCTCGGCAGCCCTCTGGTCTGGCCACGTGATTCTGAGAGCTTCGGGTTTGCTTATGGAGCTTAGGGTTTCGGGTTTTAGGGGTCTTACGCTCTCGCAACTCGGACATAGGGGTTTTAGGGGTTTAGGGTTTAGGGCCGCGGTTTCGGCGCTCACCCTCGGACAATCCAGGCGAGGCATGTGGTTCGGAGTCTGGTGAGTGAGACGTAACTGGTGGGAGTGAGCTGACAACATTTAAGCACCGGGTTTAGGGTTTAACACGGATTCCAGCACTTTGCGCTGAAGAAACGGTGCAGATTTATGCCCAAACGGGCAGGAGCTGAAATGAAGAGGGGCCTCCCAATGTCTGCAAAACAACATGATGCAAGACAATGCAAGCATCCCGTTGAAGTTTTGAGTGCGGAAATGCAGGGCATCCAAGCATGAGGAGTCCGATTTCTCGATCCCCATGCTACCAAACAGGCATATGTTTCTGTGTACATTATAGCTGGCAAAAATACCTCACACATTAAATGCCAGATTGAACCTCTCTGAAGTGCCTACCGGGAACTCTAAACCTTAGATCGGGTCAGCACGGCCAGGTTTGCATTGAGTCTGCCGGCCTTTCACAGGCCCTGCTGTACAAAGCAATCCCGTCTGTGCTCTACAACGTGACGGGCCACTTTCCGTGACGGATCTGCGAAGCACAAGGCCAGGGGTATACTATACAAAGTGTGTCAGGCAACATAACGGTAAGTGTTCAATACTTCTACATTGCCAGGTTTTGGACAAAGCTCGGCACCAGCACAGTGCTGCGGACTCCTGTGGTGTTGGGCTCGGCCAACATGGCACGCAGGATTAGTGGAATATACCTCCCATCAACTAGCCACTGTCTGTGCCGTGCCGTTGCGAAGTCCATGCTGAATTGCTACAGTAGTCACTAGTCCACATCCATGTTTTGATGCATCCGTCTTACTGGTGGGCAATACAAGTCTTTGTTGAACACTCATTATCACGGCTCTGAGCGGCGACGCTACTCTCGAGCAATCGGGACAGAGCTATACACGATGGCTTTTCTCTCAGGAATGGATGCGGATGAAGGCCAAGGGATGCGAGTCGCACACCCGAGCCGGTACTATAGGGGCCTAAATAATCATAATAGGGTTTTGGGGGCCCATTATACTCTAACTATAATAAGGAACCCCTCAAAAGAGTATAGGTAATTATTCAGGCCCCTATATTACGGGAATGTGACCAAGAAAACAGAGAAAAATGACACGAATTCCGTGGAAGGCTTGGCCTGCTCCTTGAATTCGTACTAAGCTCTCAGATATCCCTGGCCTTGGCTTGCTTTGCATCAGATGCATGTGGCGGAGAAGTCGAAGGCATATAGATTGCGAGCATATGGTTCGAGATGGTTTGTGTAGTGTGACGTTGGACTTGTGAAGGGGAGAGACATACTGAAAACATTGAGGCCGTAGTACTAGCAGCAGGGAGCTAGGCTGCAGCTCCGGAAACATTCAGTACATGACGAATGGCATTGCCTTATGCAAGAGTAGACAAAACTAGACACACACGTCTTGGACACAACATACAGGTCATGCAGAAGACTCTCTTCACACACACACACACAAACACACAACGCTGGCAAACATCTACATTCGTAGCTTCGGCATCCGAGCCCACAGCGGCTTGCCATCAAGTGCTGGAAGGCCAGAGTAGCCTGAACGCAGCAGGCAGGCAACGTTGGCCCTCTAAACAAATCGCTTCAGTCTCAGTCCTCCATAAGCAATGCTGTGAAACGGTGTGTGCGCGCGCATGTATGCACGCGTGCATAGCTACATATGTACTCCCTCTCGACCTACCCACATACCGACATTCGTGTATACAGACTTACATGCATGCATATGCATATGTGTATGTACATATGTGTATGCAGACGCACGCACGCACGCACGCACGCGCACACGCACACGCACACGCACACGCCCACGCCCACGCCCACGCCCACGCCCACGCCCACGCCCACGCCCACGCCCACGCCCACGCACCACGCCCACGCCCACGCCCACGCCCACGCCCACCCACCCCACGCCCCGCCCACGCCCCCCACCCCCCCCCCCCACCCACCCACCCACCCCCACCACCCCCACCCACCCCCACCCACCCCTACCCACCCCCACCCACCCCCACCCCCCCCACCCCACACACACACACACACCACACACACCCACACACACACACACACACACACACACACACACACACACACACACACACACACACACACACACACACACACACACACACACACACACACACACACCACACACACACCACCACACACACACACACACACACACACACACACACACACACACACACACACACACACACACACACACACACACACACACACACACACACACACACACACACACACACACACACACACACACACACACACACCCACACACGCACACACACACACACGCGCACACACACACACACATTTTTACATATATATATAACATGTAACACAATGTTCAACTATGTGAAAAATACATACGGGTACGGACGCATGTGTATGTAGAGCGTGTGTGTAAACAAACAAATATATGTAAATAAATCAAAAACATATACGTGTATATATATATATATATATATATGTGTATGTGT